ATAAAGTTTCACACACCTATATGTCTTTTAATTAAAACTTTGAAATTTTCCGTTAAATTTTCTAATCTACTTTGAAATTAATTTATGACTTAATTCGAGAGCTACTTGTAACAATCACCTTTTAAACATTACTTTTGTTTCTATGTTAAGTTCTTACTCGAATCCTATTGGCTACTAATATATATGCTTTTATAAACACATAAATACCATTTTTGGAAAATAATAAAACAGCCACTATGCACCACGAACCCTTTAGTGTCTTCAGGGGGTCTAGGTGAAATTTTCCTGTCTTTACGAGGCGCCGTCTGTATTACTCTTTCGGGTTGTAGACAGGTACCTCACTTTCAGCCTTTTTCCTCTTTAGCTAAATAACACCCCATCGTAAATTTCACTTTTTACGATTTTAGAATATAGTCGACTTGACAATGAAAAGTTCCGATCTCTATCTATCTAGTACTCAGTTGACATATTTTTAATTGTTAAACTGTTGGGCGGTCTTTTTTTAACTACTTGCCGCTTTTTTCAAAGATTTTCTTTGAAACATTTACCTTAATTTATAATTTACCCAATTTGTAAATGAATACATTTTTAAATGTAACTGTCTTGACAATCAGAAAGTTTCGATCTTTTTATTATCTTTTTTACATTCCATCTTACTTATATTTTTCTTTAGTATTAAACTTATTGATTTTCACCTGTTAAAATTATTAGGCATCATACCCACTTAAATTATGAAATACAACAGGTATTACTCGTGAATCTTGATAATTTAAATTACATGCTTCATGTGCAGGGCCTCGATATTTACCTGTTAAATGTGAATGATCTCGAACTTTCTTGTCAAGTGAAGAAATTTGCCCATCACAAATGTGACATGTTGTTGATACTGTAAATTCCTCAATTTCCTCTGCTGTCAATCTATCCATTGGTATTGGATTTTTCATAATTGCGTCAACGTTTTCTGCCATTTTCTGTAACTCCTGGGCAAACCACTTGGCAGGATTCACTCCTTCTGGACTCGAATTGTACCGAGAAAGTGATTCATCATAGCTGCATTTAACATAATATCCAATGCTCAACATTTCATGTCCTTGAATGATTTCCGTATTAGTATTATTTTCCTCATCTCTAAAAGGTTTTAGAAAGCACTCACAATCTGCGTAGATTACAAATGGAACTTTTTCTTTATTTCCATGATTTTTAAAATGAATAAAATTCTTTCCGGGGTTGGGTAGGTTAATTCTACATTCATTTAATTTTTGACACTCGTCTACGTGTTTAGTTAGTTTTTCCTCTGTAGTAAAGTAATGAAGACATCGGTCGCAAATGTATTTTTTACTTCTATTTTTAGAGACTTGAGAATTCACAAGACGAGACAAATTCTTGATCCACACGTAGTGATAATTGATTATTAACAACATCATTATCATCATCATCATTATCACTAGAACCCTCATCTTCATAATGACTTTCAACTCTTAACAAATTGACATGCTTCTCCTTTTTCTCAGCAGTCAAGTGCAATGAAATAGTAATAAAATTCTTTCCTTTTAATCGTATTCCATATAAATTGATCGAGATTTTATTATTTTGTTTTTCAAATTTCGAAATATCCTTTAGTTTTACAGGAAAATCTATTCCATTAAAGTTTAATTTATTTTCAAATTGATAATAATTGAAGAGAATTGTTGCATTAGTTTCTCTTGGATGAAGAGCTGATAACACAGCCCACTTGAAACACTTTTGATCATAATTTTTAACGTTGATGCAAGCATTTTTTAATTTTATTTGACGTGGTAAATCAATGTATGAACCTACACGTATCGCATTGTACTTATTTATATTAATTTCTAATTTCATTATAGAATGTAATGTCCATTGTGATTCCTTCTCTGTAAACTCCTCCACTTTCTGCAATATTGGCTCCTTAATATTCTTGTTGTACCAATCATTTAAAACTGTTGTTGGGAAAATTTGTTCATTTCTCACGTTGAAATATTTTGATTTAATTTTTTCTTCATCATTGGCAACTTTCCTGAATTTTGCAGCAAGAACAGCATAAACTTTTAGTGGTCCATGTCTCTTTATAATATCTGGGATATGTTCTTCGAAAAGTATGCAAGCATCATCTAAAAATGCTTTCACATCTATGACTACCAAGTTAATAATGAAACTTGTTTGAAGACGACATTTGAAAGCACTCTCACTATTGTTCCAACGAACACGATCTGTAATGTTATCAATTCCTTCCGCTGGAGATTCTGATTTTTTTGAATTTTCTCCCATTCCAAATCCTTGTTTCAAATAAAATTCAAACTTTGTATTTAGACAAATAAACTGTTGAATTAGGTTAAGACATTTTTGGCTTCCTGCTGAAGAATTCGGTCCATTTAATATTTCCTTTAAATTCGCAATATATTTTCCACACGTCATCCATCCTGCGATGTTTTGAGTTTAGTCGATTTCCGTTTTAGTTGAGTTCACCAAATTAACGGCATCTTCTGCAGCCTGATTGGAAAACACGTCATCTCATACATCAACCCTGGGATCAGTTTCTTCTGTTCTTAATTAATAAATGAAATAATAATAAATGGTTTTTTTAAATGATTTTTACAAAATTAACCTCTACAAAGGGATTTTTGTTTCTTGCGATTTTCTTAATAAATAAACAACAAAATGTAATATATTTTAAAAAAGGACTGTCCAACTTTAGGCATGACCTGTTTTTATGTTATATATGTGACGCTCCACGAGAAAAGGGACCTTATTTACTCTTGTCAGAAGGTCCCTTTTCTCGTGGAGCGTAACATATTTTAAATTAATTTAATAACTTTGAAAAACAGTTGATTTTGCACCTAAAGAGGGTACCAATGTTGGTACATACCAAAACGTTATGCCAGACATGGTCTAAAATATATAATTATTGAGCACAATGAATTATATTAATTATCCAGTGTAATCCTGATTTTTAATTTTCATATTGTAAATAATACTAAAATAATAATAAAGAAGTAAGTAATTATAAATAAATTAAATAACAACCTCAAACAGTTATTAATTATTAAGTAATAAATCGAAAATTTATAACAAGTTTGTGAACGAGATCTAAAATAGATTGCAATAGAAGCAATAAAGGTAAATAACGATAAAATCTTTTAATTATATCTTTTCATAAAAATTTCTATAACTAATAAACGCTCATTTGTTAAAGGTGTTTATTGGTCAAGGGACTGGTCTTATCTCGGCAACATACAAATAACGAACTTCAAGAAATCATTATATACAATTTTATAATAAATTTCATTTAATTAACTATTAGACTTTTCATTGATTCTTTTTCCTCATTCCCAAATAAGATTTCTTCGGAATTTCTTATTTAAAACGAGGACTTCAAATGTTAAGAGGTAAGTTACTTATGTTCACGTAACATTATTATATTTTAGCGAGTATTATGAATATTATTATAAACAACCATTATTCTCAACCATTTATATTTTATAAACCAACCTATTACATGCCGGATCTGATTATTTCCCCTAACAATGCAACTTGTTTTGTTACACATGATAAGGATTACATTGAGGTCCACCAAAGGAAGGTGGACTTGGGATGGGGAATCCAAAGGAAGGTGGACTTACCGCCTGATTTCCCACCTCGCCACCTGGTTAGAAAGAAAGCACGGCGAGGTTGGCTATTACCTTACGCAGGCGATGACTGGTCACGGCTGCTTCGGTCAGTACCTTCATAGATTTAAGATCAGAGAAGAGGCGGAATGTGTGTATTGCGGCGCTGAAATAGACGACGCGGAACACACTCTCTTCTCCTGCGGGCAATGGAGTGAGCTAAGACGGGACATGTTTGACGCGGTGAAAACTCAATTCACCGCTGATGACATGGTCTCAACTATGCTCCAAAGCGCGGACTCTTGGCGCCACATCGAGTTCTTCATTACCTCGGTAATGAAGACAAAAGATGTGGACGGAAGAAGAGGTTAACCTGGAGTAATCACTGGAGACGATTCGCGGGAGGGGGAGGAGGAACTAATTTTCGTTCCTCCTCCCACTCCCGCGGTTCCCCCCGGTGGTTAATGAACCTATTATATATTTTATTTTATTTAAATTTTTTCTTGTTTTCTGTTACAGAATGGATAGAGAGATGTAAGAGAGGGGACTTCCACCTGCGAAGTGAAGCCAATAGGTAGTACCGCAGGTGGAAATAGAGTCCTGGAAATGGGGAGTTGGTTTTAGTGGGTCGACAGAGCCTTAGGCTAACTTGCTTTAGCTGAAGCTACACTTTGTAGTGGCTCGGAGTTCATCCCCACATAACCTCATGGTACGGGCCATGAGGTATCTGATAATGAGCAGATTTCCAACTTCCCTCGTAAAACAAAACAAAAAAAAAAAAAATATAGAAACATTTGAAAACAATAAAGATACAAAAAGGAAACTTGCTTCGATAATGTTAACAAGATTAAATCAAAAATATGATTTTAATGAAAATGAGGAAGAAATTGATACTTGGAGCGACAAAATCCAGTTAATCAATTTGTCATGAAGGGTCCAGTTTCCTTAACCAGTGCTCAACTCCAATTTCTTTAAATGACTACGAACAGTTGTGGAAGCCTAATATTTGTATTGGAATATAAAGGATAAACGTCCAGAGATCTACAAACATACAAACACTTGTCCCATACATCGAATATCCGAGTAAGATTTATATTTTCAATGACCTTTTTTCTTATCAACTAAATTGACTCATTGATTATTAATTTGTTGTTCTGAATAAATTTCTCTCTCAAAATATTAGTAGGCTTATTGACTTATATCCTCATACTAAATAAGGTTCTTCATTGAAACTAATTTAAAACGAGGAACGTTAGGTAAGTTTAAAAAGATTTTTGTTTTGACGCAACACAAGTCTCCCTAAAACCCAGCAATTTAAGGAAGAGTCCAATAACATTCACATATTTCAAAACATATTAACCCAACCATTAATCGAAATTATATATTGTAATTATGAGTTTATTTTTCATCATTAAATTAAAAATATATACAATTTTCTTTGCTTTACAAATTTTTTTAAGAAATGATCTTCCTAACTTTTCAAAGAATTTAACATTATTTTTAAATTATTAAAATTACATTTTTTATCATAAAAATATTATACAAATTAAAGCAGTCGTAATTAAAATTTTAAGTGAATTTCGTACATTTTTTTATAGATAGTTTTCTTTAAGAAACATTCAGTCATTATGACTCTTCTTCTTCACCTGTACCCAAGAGCATATTAATAAGACTGTCGGTGTCAATCTTTCCATTGTCATCAATGTCCATAAGATCATATGCATCATTTATTTCTTTTTGAGTAAATTTATCTCCGAAGGTCATAAGGGCTTTCTTTAATCTAAAAATAATAAAAAGGAGAATTTAATTTCAATGATATTAAAAAACAATTTTTTTCGAAAATAGATATTTTTTTGTAATGTTTGATTTTTAAATTTGAGTAAAGCGAGTAATATTAAAATTACCTATTAGCGTCAATTTTTCCGTTGCCATCATCAAAACTTTTGAACGCTTGCATAACAACGTCATCATCATCAGCACCTTAAAATTTAAGAAATTTGTTAATTTTTGAAATTTATGTACTGCTGCAAATTTTTCAGTTAATTCAATGTATATGAATGAAGTAGCATATGCGAGATGGCAAATTCGTCGCGATCGGCACTGTAGATGAAAATAAATCTCATTTGCTCTTCATTTGTCAACAAATAATGCAACCCTGCTTGAAAGTCATTTCTCATTTTATTTTTCATAAATCTTGAGCTTATGGTGCCAAATTGGCTTTTTATTAGAATTTCAGTCTTTGCTTTTTATTTTTATTCTCTAATTTTGATTGGACAGGCCCTTTGCTTTTGCTTTCTCTTAGATTTTAATAAAGGTGGAGGATGATCATCATTAAGATAATCGTCATCATCATTATCATCATATTTGGATCATTGCCAAATAACTTTGGCATATCAAGAAACAAATGCCAGAGATTGTAAAGCTTACAATGCCAATTAGAACATTTGAGGAATTCTTAAAGGAATGAAAATTAACTAGGCGATTAAATTCTCGTTAAATTTTTCTAAAGCTTGCACCTATCGTCTCAGCTAGTTTATCAAAAAAAAAATTGTTGACAATTTACAGTAAAGCTTGTAGAGTTCAAGAAAAACCATTCTTGAATTCTACAAAATAGAGAAAAAGAACCAATTAACATACCTCCTGATCCTGACATGCGAGTTGCAAAAAGATTGAGTAGTTGCGTAAAGTTAATGGGACCCGATGCTTCTCCAATCATTTCGTCCAACTCTTTTTCATTACATAGACGTCCAACTTGATCGAAAGTATGGCGTAAATCACTTTTACTGACAATTCCATCCTTATCATGATCCATCATACTGAAACCCTACAAAAAACAATCGAGATTTTATTTTTATTTTATGCAAGTGAGGTGTCTTTTTATAAAAAGCAGTTTTAGACGTTTGTTTGAAAAAAAATAGTATTTTTAAAAAATATAGTTACTACTGTACCTCTTTAAATTCCGCAACCTGCTTTTGTGAGAACATGGAGAATACATTTGAACCAGAGCGTTTTGTTCGCTTACTACCGCGACTTGCTCTGTTCGATTCTGATGGTGATTTCGTTGCTGGTTCAGGTTCAGGAGCAGGTGCTGCTGCTGCTGGTGCTGGTGCTGCATCACCCTCTGCCTTTGGTTCAGCTGCGGCTGCCTCTTCCTTCTTTTTTGGCTTCTTCTTCTTTTCCTTATCTGCCTGCAGGTAAAATAACATTTTATGAAATAAATTTGTAAACTAATTCGGTAAAGAAATGTATGGATATATATTTTTTTAATTATTATCCATTACAAGGTCAGCTATTAGGCCCGACAATGGTGAACCCATTGGGGTACCAAAAACCTATATATTGAAATTTCAATCAAAGGAGCAATAGGGACAATTAATTTAGTTCTAACTTGTTAGTGGTCTCATGGAACATTTATCTTTGTAAATTTTTGATAAGCTACAGAATCTTGGGGGTGAATTATATGAATATAAATGTTTAGACATGGGACAATTGACGTGATTTTTTTTTTACCAAAATAGTATATTATATTTATATTATTATATTAATATCAATATGATATTAAATATATTACATGATATTAGATATATTTGCAATTGAAAAATATTTCTACTTTGAATTAAATAAGAAATGCCATTTCCTTAAATTAAGTAACCGTTATGTTTCATTTATAATATATAACATTTACTGATCTATCTGAAGTTTGGTCTTGTTCCAAATATGTGGTCCAAGTCATTTATTTACTTGCATCACATCCATAATACTATCGTCTATATGCCACCCACGCTGAACTTAAATCAAGTCAAATTTTCTTGAGCCAAAAACATTTCATTTCTGTATATAAATTTCCCAATTATCAACATTAATGAAAAACTTCTTAACTTCTCTTATGCGAATAAGTAGACAATATGTTTTATATCAAATAATGAAGATTGTACAAAAATTCTGCAATATTTTTATTCCCTTATGGTAAAATCCATTTTATATGTGAATAAGTATTTCTTTAATTTTTATTGATTTACCTTTTCATAGAAATTATTTTATGATGAGGTGGGTGAGGAGTTAAGCTTCTAAAATTGTCGTTGCAAATATTTTATAAATCTAACAGAAGATTTTGACAGAAAACATTAGTAAGCAATAACAAATGGTTTATTTTTTTGTGTTCGGATATTTATTATAAATAACATAAAGTTGTTTTGAAAAATTAAATTTGTATCAAAGTGTTTCTATTATTATTTCTTCTTTGCAACATGTTGTATAAAATTTTAAAACTTCTAAAGGAATGTATTTTAAATTTAAAAAAATGATAATAATTATTATACTTTAAATTATTATTAATAATTATATATACATATTATATATTATATATTATATATTATATATTATATATTATATATTATATATTATATATTATATATTATATATTATATATTATATATTATATATTATATATTATATATTATATACTATATATTATATATTATATATTATATATTATATATTATATATTTATATAATAATAGTGGACATAAAATAATAAAATAAAACATAAATTTACAAATAGACTTTACCGTTTTAAATATTATTTATATAACGTTTCTAAGATTCGTAGCATTCGAGGATATGATGAGAAGTCAAAGATTTCTTCATTGAACGTTTATTTAGTGCCAAGAACAACAGAGACCAAAATGAGAAATTGGAAAAAATTCTGAAGATCAATAAAAATAATATAATTAATAAAAGTCTTTACAAAAATATTACTTTTTTAAAAATTATCCTTAATTTAGTATTTAAGAAATTTGCAACCAAAAATAACGAAAAGAAATCTCAGTATTATGAACGAATTCGATTAATTGATATTAAATTTTATTTGTTGCTTTCAATATTTTTAATCCACTTTTCGGGAAATATTTTTAATTACTACCGGCATTTTAAACATAGAAGACCTTTTTTATATTAAAATTACCGTAAATTGAGAAAATTCTAAATTTTGAAAACTGCTCAACTCCAAAAACAGTAAGAGTCATTTTCACATAACAATATACAGTGAAAATGACTCTTACGGTTTTCAGAGTTGAAACATTTTTTTATAATTTCTATTTTTATAATAACAATTTTTTAATTCTCACGATCCAATAAAACTGATATTATTTAAGAAATCTCTAAATATTTTATAAAATAAAAATTTACAAAATTACAAAGAGATAAAAATTAATTTCCTTTCGGTGAAAATTAAAATTTTTCAATATTCAAATAAAAAGTTTGTTTTCGAAATTATTAATTCTACGAAACTTGTATGTAAAATACAAATGGATTATTTTTTCTACTCAGAAGAAAATAAAAAAAAATGATTTGTTTTAATAGCAGGTTTCTTTTTCAAAAAAAATATTTTCTTAAAAATTAGTCAAAATTAGTTATAGCAAATTAGTTTTTAATTAAAATTAGAATTAATTTTTCTAAAGAAAATTTTTAAAAACTATGATTCTGTTATGGGGAATGCATTCGAATATTTGTTATTCTTTTTCTTTTTAAGAAATTCAAAATTTATCGATTTCTAGTTTACTTGTAGAATTTAAATCAAAATTTTGTTTAAAAATACAATTAATTCAAATTAATTTTTTTTTAATTTTCTTCTCGAACCTTGTTAAGCATACTGGTTCTTAAAAAAATAAATATCTTGAACGTCATCGGACGTTTTATTCCTTTTCAAAAGTCAATAACTTTGTTGAAAAAAAAATTCAAAACCTTTATTAAAATTCAAATACTTGTCCTATCTGATGCCAATTATTAAAAAAAATCTACTAAATTAATAATTAATGAAAAATTAACACTTGAAGACATCTTCAAGTGATGTTTTCTTATTGAATTTTTCGAAATTTTTTCTTCAAATGTAAATCAGAACAATTTCTTTGTCTGTATTTGGGTGATTCTCCTGAAAGGGACCACTTCACGTGTCTCCAACATGAGGTTCATTATTTAAATTAATTTTTCATTAATATTTTATCAAGATTAAATTTAAAAAAAAATTTATTTATAATCTACGAAGATTTATCTATCTTTATATAATCTTCTATTGCTTATATTTAAAGTTCTTCCTATTTAAAAAACATATTTAATTTTGTCATCGAATTTTGGTTAAACAGAATGTATATTTTATAAATATATTTTAACGTATATAAATAATTTCAACATATTTATGATATATATCAAATTAAAGTTCAGAACATAACGATTATTTTTTACTTACATTTGTTTAAAATAAGATAAAAAAAGTTATTGAAATTATTAATTAAAATAGTATTATCAATGAGAGTAAAAATTAAATTCATCTCCGAAGCCTCGATTTCTATATAACAACATCATATTTTTTAACGTTTTAAACATAATATGTAATCTATGTGAAAATATTTGATGTTAAAAACTAAAAATATTGTTAAAAATATTGTTAAAAAAATTGTAATATTTTTAAAATTAAAAAAAATGAGAATTTTTTCATTAAATTATGAATTCATCTCCGAAGCCTTTTTTTATATTTGATATGCGTTTTCTTTTGTTTTTGATTTTTAATCATTGTTTTGAAATATTTAACCCTCAAATTAAATTATTAATTTAATAAAAATAAAATATAAAAGCAAAAAGTGCAATAAATTGAAACATAACAATTTATTATTTAAAAAAAATATTCCTACCGAGTTTTTTTTACAAAATAATTAATTTAAAAGTTATAATTAATTATACTTAACCTCTAGAACACATGATAATAAAATGTTCTTGGAGGTCTTATTTCTGAAAATTAATTTTGCGCAGCTTATATTTTTATCTTTAAATATTTTCTAAATTTAATTATGAAAAAAAAGTAACAAAAAAAGAATAATTTGATTTTTTGGAAATTCAACCAAAAAAGGGTCCCTTTCAGGAGAATCACCCATTTATAAGTTTTCTGATAGATGAAAAATGTAATAAAAAAAAATTTTGCTAAAAATTATTAAGCAGAACGATAAGGAGAGGAAAAAACTGCAGTAGTCCGCATTGGTACTGTCATGGTGTCCTATTAATGTTTTTTTGTTTTGTTTTTTGGGGTGGTTGTCGATTACACTTACCATGGTTGTTTAACTAATGTGAAGAGGAATTGTACGAGAAGATAGCAATAAACCTACTGTCTAAAATGTAGAGTTGAAATTGCCTAAGTAATTTACATGAAATTCCCCTTCCACAGATTGGCATTTGAGCAGGGATATGCCCGGTAAAACGCCAACGCCTATATGGCCATGTTTAGAACGAGCTTCCCGAAAATAGCGACCTTAGATACATATATTTGAACTTAAGCAAATTGCTTTATTTCCATTCAGTATCGTTATAAATTTACCCTCTCGAAAGAAAATATAAGTTGAAAGCGCATCTCAGAATAACTATAAATAAAAAAAATTAACTTCAATTTTACGCTATTACAGTGACTTGAAATTATAATTTAAAATAATAATAATTCCTTTATTATTAACAAGTTATATTTTAAATTATATTAATTAGTTTTTAAATATTATTTACATAATAAATATTCAAATAAATAAAATATTAGAAAATAAAAAAATATTCTTTTAATACAGAGGGTGTAGCAAAAGAATAGAACACCCCTAAATATATTATATTTATTTTGTAGCAAATATTTTTTAACTTTTATCTTTCAAATAACTTAAAATGGACCTGTAACGGTGACCCAATAATTCTTCTAAAACACATGTGTTTCGTCAGCCAAATCTGTGATACTCGACCTCGATGAGTTTTAACATTAGTTTAGCCTACATTGATAAGATTATTATGTTGAAACCCTAACCCTATATAATGTGCCCTAAAATAAGTAGAATTCAGTATTTCTCCGACTGTCAAAATTAACACTAACCAACATTTGTAAAATTAAATAAAGTCTATTTAAAATTATACAAAAACATTTATTTCACGTTTTTACCCGTGACATAAATTATTTTGGCGATCCTGCCAGGATAGCAACAAACGACAAAAAGTTTTGTCAAACTGTGCTATCACTGATTACGGACAAATTATCGACAGAAACTCAATATTAAAGGAGAAGATACTCCAAAGGCTCTCTACGGACACCTTTGTTTTTATTATAAACTTGATAGACCTTGGACAAGGAAAAATCAGCAGATACGTCAGCAGCAGTGTCTACGGCCATTCATTGCACATCCCTCCAACCAAAATCATCAAAGGAAGACATCAGTTTTTCTTAATAAGAAGTAAGAAAATAAATAAAATAAATATTTAGAAAAAATTTGTAAATTATTCATAATACCAACAAGAGATGTAGTAAAATTAATTAAAAAATTTAACGGACACGACGACATCGGTGTTGAATCTTTCATTAGTTTAGTCAAAAAGATAAAAAATCAATGTAATAATCCAGGAATATTATACTACATTGGATAATATCCGAAAGAATAGAAGGCGAAGCAGAAAAAGCAATTAGATTTTTGAGTATTGAAAATTACGAAGAATTATTTGAAGCTTTAAGATCAAATTTCGGAGCTATGGGATCCTTAGAAACCCATCGGACAAAATTAGCCCAAGTCATTCAAGGGTCAATCGAATCAACACAAAATTTCAACATTCGATTTAACCAAAAAATAAATGAACTTCTATATGCCGTACAATCAAAATATCCCACTAATCTCGAGGGGAAAGTATCTATAGCTAATGAAGAACAGACAATTTTAGAAAAATACATTCTCAATTTAAGAGAAGATATTTCTGATAAAGTATTGTCAAAAAACCCTAAAGACATTCGAGAAGCTCAACAGATTGCCATACAATCAGAAGTTTGGTTAATTGAGAGAAATAAAATAAGAAATATAAACAAGTTAGTAAATCACAACCCACAATCTCAACTTTAAGAAAAAATCTGATTCCAGTACAAAAACAAGACTTATGATGCATTGTAGCTTTTGTAAGAAAGTAGGTCATAATGAAAACCAGTGTTATTATTAAGCTATTATTAAGCACTTAATTTATAAAATAAAGGTTCCTTTATATAACCCAACTAACGAACCAATGATCATCCGGAAAGAAGAAATCAAACCAAAACCCATAAAAACACTTGTAGATAGAAAAGAAATTATTCATGCCATAACAATAAAAGAATTAAATGAACGACTCAAATTATTAAAAGAAAATGTCAGATTGAATCATATAGAAGAGGAATATAAAGAAAACATCGAGAAAATAATCACAATGTATCACGATATATTTGGATTCCCAGGAGATCCTTTACCATGCACAGAACTTGTTTCTCATCGAATAATTTTAAAAGACGATATACCGGTAAATAAACGACAATTAAGAGCACCAGAAGTACATCGGAACGAAGCTAAAACTCAAGTAAACGACATGTTAAAGAAAATAATAATATCTCATTCTAATACACCTTATAATTCACCTTTGTGGGTAGTACCGAAGAAGGAGGATGCATCAGGTATCACCAAATGGCGCGTTGTAATAGATTTTAGAAAGCTCAATGATAAAACCGATTTAGATGCTTATCCTTTACCAGTTATCGAAGATAACATTGACCATTTGGGGAAAGCAAAATATTTTTCAGCACTTAATTTGAGTTCTGGATTTCACCAAATTCTAATGGAAGAAGAGTCAAAAAAATATACAGGATTTTCTACATCTGATGGACATTTTCATTTTAACAGAATGCCATTTGGACTCAAAAATGCACCCGCAACATTTCAACGAATGATGGATACAGCCTTGAGGGGACTCATCGGAAAAATTTGTTTTGCCTATCTTGACGACATCGTTGTATTTGGAAGAACATTACAAGAACACAATAAAAATCTAACTACATTGTTCGACAGATTAAGAGCAACTGGGTTGAAACTTCAACCAGACAAATGTGAATTCTTAAAACCAGAATTAGAATATCTAGGACATCTAATTACATCAGAAGGAGTCAAACCAAACCCAAATAAAATAGAAGCAGTTCAAAACTTTAAACAACCAATGAATGAAAAACAAGTTAAATCATTTCTTGGTCTCTCAGGATACTACAGGAAGTTTATCATGAACTACTCAACAGTAATCAGATCACTAATAGAATAAATAATAATACAAAAGATATAATCCTTTCCAACCAAATCACTATTATAGCAATGCTTGCAGACGAATTAAGTCAAAATGTGAATATTTTAATAAACTCCGTTAATGATGGAAAACATGGAATTATCCACCCCCAAATATTAACACCAAAATAGCCAAATAGCATTAAAACATTTTACGTTCCAATTAGTGAAAATGAAATAGACAAATGTAAAATAGCAAATAAAATGTTTGTATGCGCTAGAAATCATCCTACCTATTTACTATCAGAAGTAGAGACATGTGAAAACCAAATTATAAAATCAAAATCTAATTTAATTGATATTAAGACATGTGAATTGAGTGTTATAAAAATCGACAAATATGTTTATATTCAATTAAAAGGCAACCAGGGATACTTATTTATACCACAAATACCTATTACTTTAGATACTTTTTGTAATTTTCAGAATAATGAAATTACTATTACTGTGCCAACTTTAATTACCACAAAAGAAAATTGCATATTAAATTATGAGGATTCCATAATAAAGTTAAAGAAAAGTAATTCTATAGTTAAATATAAAAAATACCATAAAAATATAACAATTCCTTATTCTGAGAAGGAACTTAATTTAATGCATCAAAAATTGATCCCTCTACAAAAACAAATTGATTCCAAACAATTTACTCTATTACAGGTAGGCAAATCACTTAATGATATAGAAATTTCCATTAGTAATATCCAAAAAGAAAGAAGAAATAAGTCTTGGAGGGAAACTGCTAATGAGGTTTTAAGCTATTTAGGGTATGGTTCTATGACTATTTTATTAGTAATATTTTTATATAAATGTGGAATTTTTGAAAAAATGCATACCTATAATGTATGTATAAACGTATTTTGCACTACTACCAACGACATAAATAACGAAATTTCACCCCAAGTAGTAACGTATATTCCTACTACTTCGGACGAAAACAGTACCGATAGTAAACTAGACGAAAAACCAATAAGATTTAGGAAAATGCCAAAATAAGTTTTTCAGGTGTAAAACATGTCTAATAAGGGGGGTGTAACGGTGACCCAATAATTCTTCTAAAACACATGTGTTTCGTCAGCCAAATCTGTGATACTCGACCTCGATGAGTCTTAACATTAGGGGCCGTTCAAAAAATACGTAACGCTATTTTTCGGAAATTTGGACCCCCCCTCCCCCCATGTAACGCAATGTTGTATACATTAGCGCCATTTTTTCTGCTGACCGTAACAAATAGCTTGACCCCCCTCCCCCCTAAAGCGTTACGTATTTTTTGAACGGCCCCTTAGTTTAGCCTACATTGATAAGATTATTATGTTGAAACCCTAACCCTATATATAATGTGCCCTAAAATAAGTAGAATTCAGTATTTCTCCGACTGTCAAAATTAACACTAACCAACATTTGTAAAATTAAATAAAGTCTATTTAAAATTATACAAAAACATTTATTTCACGTTTTTACCCGTGACAGACCCTATAAGAGTCACATTAAACAGACTAAACAAAAATTTCAAAATTATATTTGTTCCCAAGAAAATTCGTTTACACAACATTTTTATCGCTCACAGATTGTACCGTGAAGAAGGCAGTTCAAATTTCATCCTTCTTAACAATTAACTTTAACTTTTTATTTAAATAATTTTATATTCTACAACCATTAATATCTTAATATTATTAATAATGTATATAAATAAATATTTGTTGTTTATAAAACAACAATGCGAAAATTACGATAAAATTAAAATTCGAAAACCTACAATTAATTAAAAATTATAAACAATTAAACTACACTATAAAAATTAATGTAAAATTATTATTAATTAGATTTATAATAATATTTTGTAAAATTTCGAAAACGTGGAAAATCTTGGCAATTATTATAAAATAATTTATTAAAACCTATCGTAAAATAAAAATATTATAATTTTCAAAATATTCAAAATTATTTAAAAGTTTTAGACTTTAGGTAGCTAAAAAAATCAAATATTTTTGATACGTACATTAGTATCAATCTTCATATACAAAAATTTTCAAGCGCAACAATAAAAATGACAATAAAAAATATATCATATTCTCCGCTTCAAATACTACCTATACTTTTATGAATTTTCGGTACACTTGTAGCTTCATTATTGGTTAACGAAATATAAAATTTTGTGATATTAGAAATGTTTGATTGTTAAACTTTTGCAAACGTCAAAAAAGTCTTTTGCCACGTTGCATATATGGTTGCAAAGAAGTACAAAGCATTCATATTAGTCTGTCTGTTCTACCAAAACCGTATGTATTTATTTCTTCTTTCAATTATTTTAATTATTATTTTTAATTTAATAAGAAACTAGTCTTAAATTGGCAATTAATTTTTAGTTACGCAATTTACAAGCGTTTTTTTTTAAAAATATATTGCTTTCTAGTTATAACCCAATATTGAAGCGATTTTACAGCTAATGGTGAAATGCGAAAGTTTTATATCTTTAACAAAATTTAAATTACAAGAAGGCATTATATAATTAAAAATATTATTTTTCTATGATTATATATCTCTCCTTATTAATATAAAATCATTCCGCCGCCACCGCTTATAGTCAAAAAGTTTTTAAACCCCTTCCCGTAAAAATTATTATTACTTAAAACTTGACAAAAGGGCCCCATACGGGTCCTCCAAAGGGTCGATACCCTGGGGGCCGTCTATAAATTACGTAAGACATTTAGGGGGAGGGGGGGGTCAGCAAGATCTTACGAACAATAGTAAAAATGGCGCTAATATATGTAAAATATCTTATCTCTTTCGTGCCCTCGGGGAATCTAGCGGTTGGATTTGCTTCAAAATTGTCACTCGGGGATTTTCGGGGTCGCTGATTGTGAATCAGAAGTCAGATTTGAAAAATTTGCAAAATTAAAAATGGCGGTCAAGATTTCAAAAAATTGCTTGAATTTGCTTCAATATTGCCAATATTGCCTTGGATCGAATAACTCGCCCGACGCTCGGACCGGACGCGCTAATGCCAGTCAGTAAGCAGTGAGCGCCTCTGGGCCACTCATGGACGAGTTATTAGATTCAAGGCCTCAATTTTGTAACTAATTTCAGATCATAATTTTATCCAAATTTTCTTGTATATTTTATTTTTTATATAAAAATTAGGATCTGAAATTAATAATAAAATAAAAAGCTTATTTTTAGTAATAAAAATAAACGAATGAATTTTCATATAAAAAATTGAATAATAATGGTATTTTTTAATGTTTTCCGCCTGCAAACAAAGATTTTCATTGGAAAAAATATGCTTCAAACATTAGGAAAATGAATTTTTTCATTTGGAAATTTTTTTGCGGTTTGAAAAACATGTATATTCTATAAAATTATAAATAGGTTTCAAATATTACCAATTTTTAAGTAAAATAAAAATTCAAAAAGGCTCAAAATATTTTCTAAATAATATTTTATGACATTTGAATTCCTTACAAAAAATTACCTTAAAAATAATTTTGTGGAATATTTAAAAACTGAATTTAGATTCGTAATCAGCGACCATTAAAACCCCCAAGTAACATTTTTTAAGCAAATTCAATCAACTTTTGAAGATCTCGTCCGCCATGTTGAATCGGACATTTTGAATTTTTAAGAACTGAGATCGGATTTGTAATCAGCGACTCCGAAAATCCTCAAGTAGCAATATTGAAGCAAATTCAAGCAATTTTTAAAAATCTTGTCTGCCATATTGGATCCGCCATTTTGAATTTTTTTAAACTGACATCGGATTCGTAATAAGTGACCCCGAAAACCCCCGAGTAACAATTTGGAAGCAATTTTGATGAAATTTAAAAAAATTTTGAAATTTGTTAAAAAATTTGTCGGACATATTAGATCCGCCATTTTGAATTTTTTAAATCTGACTTAAAATTCGTAATCAACGACCCCAAAAACATAAAAAAACGAAATGTTGTTAAAAATTATGCACTAAATGTTAATAAAATGTATAGTTTGTTACATAACTGTTATTTTTTAAAACAGTCAATGTTTATCCTATTGTTTAAAATAAATATTACAACTTTTTGTAATTTACTATTTTTTTAATTGTAGCTACATCCATTCGGAATAGAAAGCAGTTTAGCGCAAATTAATTGGTTAATTTTTATAAGAATTACACAAAATATTCTAAGTGGGACATATATGTCCCGGAGGCACGAAAGGGTTATGAGAGGGGAGGGGGGGGCGGTCAAATTTTCCAAAAAAATGTCTTACGTAATGTATGGGCAGCCCCCTAGGTTAAGATTTATGTCAAATTTGATCGTTACATTGCGTCAAAATCTATGTGTAATTTGACCTATATAAACACGAATTTTTTGTTTAAACATAATTATTACTTTTAATTATTGTATCAAAATTACAATATTCTTTCAAATTTTAAAAGAGAACACGCACAAAAACATAAAAAAACCAAGGTCTAGATTTTTTAAAACTGGGGATAGTGAGACTAAAAAAATTTCCGGATTTTAAATATTAACACATAGTTTGATAATATTTATAGATATACTGCAACACTAATTTTAAGATATAATTATACTGATTTATTTAAAAATGTACAAATGATATACAAAAGCTTTAAAATATTTAAATTGTCATGTTTTTAGGTGTAACAATATCATCAAAAATTAATAACAACCAAATTGGATAATTATTTTCTTAAAAAACTAATACCATTTATCAACTATGATCAGAAGTACAATCATCTTCTTATTAATTTCATGGGTCCAGGGAGAAAATCTTCAACTAAATGATTTTTTACTAATTGAACTAGTAAAATCCTTTAATGAAGCAGAGAATTATATGACAAGAGAAGCTTCAGGTGAAGATGCAGCAATTGTCCTAGGCATGGTACACACAGGGAAAAGTTCATTAATTAATTACTTAATTGGCAATAAATTAAAGGGTGTGAAATTGTCTAAATATGATGAATTTAAAATAATGCAAGATGAAAATCGATCCAAAGGACCGGAAATTGGTTTTGGATTAACGCCAGAAACTACAATTCCTACAAAATGGATATCAGATAAATTGCCTGGTTTGAGCATTTTTGATTTTCCTGGATATAGTGACTTTAGAGAATCATTACAAGAAATCACTAATTCTTTTTATCTCTATCATTTGGCAAAAAAAGTAAAATCTTTAAAATTTATTTTAGTTATTAATTTTTTCGACATTGCTAGGCAAGATGTGAATCCATTGCTAAAATCATTGCAGTATGCTAAGAAGTTATTTGGAAATAAGTTCGAAATGTTTTTTCCAAGTATTTCAGTGATTTTCTCAAAAGTACCCAGAGTACACGATAACAACGCAGTTGACATGGAAATGATTGAACATTATTTGAAAGAAAAATCCAACGTTCCAAAAGGAGCATCCAATAATATAAAAAGTTTTCTCAATTATATCATAAAAAATAATGATCGTATTGGACTATTCCGAAAGCCTGAAAATAATGAAACTATTACATCTGATACTGACTTTGAAATTTTTTCGGCCATTAGAAACTCCAGAAGCGTACAGAGAAATTATCTCCAGTATGTGCTTCCAAGTATTTCAGATCCTACTATAGTTTTCCTGCGCACAGTCCCTCACTTCTTAAATATAGAAATAAGGAAAATAGCGCAATCATTATATGAAATATTCAAAAAAGAATTAGTAAAAAATCAAGATGATGAAGCAATTCCAAAGATTCAAGCAAACTTAAACTACATTGAAGATCTACTATACAATTCTGTTAGAAATGAAACTAATATTTACGAAAATACTAAAATTATTGAAAAAATTGGTATTAAATTGAAGAAGAAGATTGATGACAGTAATTTGTTAACAAAGGTTGAAATGTTTACGCTTTTTTCCGATATCTTAAAGTTGAATGTCAATAAAATATTGCATGAAATTTCTAGGAATCTAATCCTAATTTTACGTAATGAAGTTAGGAATGCAAAGAATGAATTTTTAACCCTCACAGCAACGGAGATTCCAGAACTTACTACTACCATTACAGAGAATCCTACGGAGAACACAAAACAATCTACAGATATTACAGAAGATCCTGAGGATATTACAGAAGATCCTGAGGATATTACAGAAGATCCTGAGGACATTACAGAAGATCCTGAGGACATTACAGAAAATTTTACGGAGGACACAGAACAATCTACGGATGTTATTGAAGGTTTTGAGGAAATTACAGAAAATGTAATGGAGAACACAAAACAATCTACGGTTGTTACAGAAAATTCCTCTAACATTACAGAAGATTCTACTGACATTGTAAAAAATTCTACAGAGATTCCAGAATATCTTGCAAATAATCCGTAACATCCGTGCTACTCCTTAACATTATTTTATTTTATTAACATGTTTTTACGGATCCAAACATGATGCAATAATTATCATCTGAACACGAAAACGTCTTTGTTCTGGAAACGTTTCTTTAAAGTTTTTAGATCGTTACATGTTCGCTACATAATGGCTTAAGAACGTCCGTTATTCTAAAAACGTTTTTAGAACATAAAACGTTCTTAAGATGTTATGTGGAGAACATGAAAGGTTCTAAAAACGTTTTAGGAACGTTTTTAGAACAAAGACGTTGCCGTGCCCACAGGGTATGTTTCCAATAATTATTATTATTTTTAATTATAACTTTTTAATTCTGATTAAGGTCCACCTCCATAACTGTTTTAACCAGAGTTTAAGTCGTTAAACTGGATCTAACTACATTACTATAAACCAAGTTCACCAAATTAAACTCCCGTTAAAAGAAGTTGTCGAACCGGACCTTAGTCTTTAAATTTTCCAATACAATCTCACTTACAATGGTTTTACGAATTATTAAAAAAAATAAGCATTGTTTGAAAATACAATTTTTAATTTTACTTTAAAGTTTTTGTATATTACATGAAGATAAACAAAGATTTAAAATTATTTAGAAAGTTTTGTAATGTTTTATTTTAACGTTTTCTTATTTATTTCCTCAGAAATATGTCAACATAGATAAACGTAAAAATCACATGTTATACAAACTTTAAAAAAATGTGTATTAGAAATAGAAATTATTAATAAAAATGTTTGCCCATAAAATTGTTATTCAAGTTTGTTTTATTGGAGGGTTGGATTACCCAATGTTAACAATTGACGTTAATATTTTCTCATTATAATTTAACATTTCTTATTGTAAGAAGCGCAACGGATACTCTTCATCGCAGCCATTTACTAATGTCAGTTTACTAACTTTCTTTGCATGGCGCAAGAGATATTTAACTTTCTTTGTAATACACAGTTAATATTATTAAAATTTATTTAAATATTTATAGTTAGTTTTCGTTATAAGATGCAGTAGATATTTTTCAGCGCAACCTTAAACAAGTCAAAATTTAATTGCAACAAAAAAAGATTATAATTTTGCAAAGTAAATAAAATTATAAATAGTGAAATAATTATAAAGAAAAATTATAAGTTAGAATTAAATTTTTACAATAAGAAATGCAATTTCGTTAAAATTAAAAGAATATGAAATTTAAAATAAGGTCAACCGAGTAAAAATTGATAGGTGAACACAAACATAGTACATTGAAAACGGCTTATCTGATTCAATGCCAAACGCAAAATAAGAGAAGAGAAAATTAAATTTTTTTGAAAATCATAATGATTATTTAGGGAATTATTGCTTAGGAAACGATTTACCTTGTAATTCAATAAACAATAATAATTTTATTATTACTACAAAGTCAAGCCCTGGGGAAGGTGTTGTGGAAAGGAGTGAGATATTGGTTCTCTACCTCATAATATTAAAGCTTAAATTAAATATTCTTAAATATTCTTATGAGCCATGTTTATATAGCTGTTTTATTTATTTTTTAATAATTGTTTAATTATTTAAACTTTAATTTGTTTATTATTATATTTTTTATAATTATCCTACGAACGAATGATAAAAACTATTTGTTGTACTCCCATCGAGTTGTTGTAAGCTTACTTTCAAAGTTTTCGTAATGCTTCATGCTTGAATAAAATTCAGTGAAATGTTAAATATTCAATTGATAAACATTTGCAAACGCCACATAGTTTTTTTCCACGTTGCATACGATTGTAAATAATTAATACAGATGTCACATGCCACGTGTGTGACCTCTAAGTAACCTTAGACCAGACCTGTTACCAAGAAAACTTGACAAACCCCCATCGATGAGCAATCTTTTTACAACCCTATTACGTCGATACACGGATGTGATCTGGGTATATAAGGCCCTAAATTTGGATCCAAAAATCAGTATCTAGTCAGCATCCAGTCAGTATCTAATTTAAATCAAAGCGATCGACATCATCTCTGTACCAGGAGTCAGTGCGAATCTATACTCGTTACCTACGATTATCCCAGTCTAAGTAATACCCATCTCGTGTGTGACCGAGCCATTGTCAAACCTCCAAGCAGTAAAAATTGGAAAGGCGGTGCATCTGAACTGACTGTGGACCCACGAGCGGAGAACGGGTTTTCAGCTTCGAATAGAAGCAATAAAGGTAATTAACTAAATCTTTTCATCATATCCATTCAATACAATTTCTATATCTAATAAACGCCTATTTGTTAAAGGTGTTTATTGGAACTGGTCTTCTCTCGGCAACATACAAATAAAGAACTTCAAGAAATCATTATATACTATTTTATAATAAATTTCATTTTAACTAATTCTTAACTTTTATTCATTGATTCTTTTTCCTCATTCCCAAATAAGATTTCTTCAAAATTTCTTATTTAAAACGAGGATAACAAATGTTAAGAGGTAAGTTACTTTTCACGTAACACAGATTTACGTTTGTTTGATTATATTTCTACAATTTTTCCTATTACATTAATTAATTTTCCTATTACATTTTTCCTATCATTAATTTTATCATTTACATCATTTTTCTTACAATTTTTATGTCAATGCGAAAAAATTTTATTTTAAAAGAATGATAGAATCTAATAAAAATTACTCATCATATTTTTTTGTAAGGTCGACAAAGGACCAAGTGAAAGTTTTTAATTAACCTTTAATTATTTCAATTATAATAAAATAATTTATTAAAACATATAATTTAATATTAAAATTTTCAAAATATTCAAAATTATTTAAAAGTTTTAGACTAGGTAGCTAAAAAATTAAATATTTTCGATACGTACATTATTATCAATCTTCTGTATATATATAATTATATATATATATGTATATATTTTTTCAAGCATAACAATAAAAATGACAATAAAAAATATAGCATTCCCCACTTAAAACACTACTTTTATGAATTTTCGTTACACTTGTAGCTTCAGTATTGGTTAACGAAATATAAAATTTTGTTATATTAAAATTGTTTGATTATTAAACTTTTAAAAACCCCAAAAACTCTTTTGCCACGTTGCATATGGTTACAAAGAAGTACTAAGCATTTATATTAGTCTGCCTGTTCCACATCAATCGTATGTATTTATTTCTTCTTTCAATTATTCTGATTATTATTTTTAATTTGACAACACACTAGTATTAAATTAAGTTACGCATTTTTACTTAGCACAATATTGAAGCGACATACAAATTGATAGAAAATAATTATTAATATTTTTGCTTTTGATAACATTTTCTGAAACTTTTTCAAATGTAATTGAAAATTTATTTGAATTTATTTTAATGTTTAATTTTAATGGAATTCTGTAAAGATAGATGTAAGTTTATGATAACTTTATTTGCTGATACCTAATATTGAGATTATATGTTCACTCTTTGCAGTATATATGAAGTGGACTTTGAGTAATTTTGAAGGGAGGTTCAAATATAATCTAATTTTTAACACTGTTGACTTAAATTGTGACATACGGTAACGATTCCTGGGGCCTTTATGGCCCTTTAAAAAAAGTTCGAATTTGACCAAAATTTTGACGTAACGCATTGTTACTCATGACGGGACCTCAATACAGGGCCTATTTATATCCTGTAGGTCGAAAAAGGCAAAATAGGTTAAATGTACGTAAACTTTAACGTAACGTAATGTTACTCATGAAGAGGCCTCTTTTAGACATATACGTCGAAAATAGGTCAAATTTAACATAAATTTTGACTTAAAATAACTACTTTTAACCTGCTGGTTTAAAAAAAGGTCAAATTTGACCTAAATTTTGACGTAAGGAAACGACCAATTGGAGAGAGCTCATGGTTTCTCTTTTTGACCTGTAGGTTAAAAATAGGTCAAGATTGACCTATAATTTGACATCCATTGGAAAATTATCGTTAGATAATTTTAAAATCTTTCAATAAATTGCCTATCTGATGGTTCTAACATTTTGAACGCGATATAATACTGATTTATTTAAAAATGTACAAATGTATTCAAAAGTTTTAAAATATTTAATTTTTTATGTTTTTAGGTGAAGCAATCAAAAACAATCAAAAAATTAATAACAACCAAATTGGATAATTCTTATCTTGAAAAACTAATACCATTTATCAACTATGATTAGAAGTACAATCATCTTCTTATTAATTTCATGGGTCCAGGGAGAAAATCTTGAACTAAATGATGTGAAACTAATTGAACTAGTAAAATCCTTTAATGAAGCAGAGAATTATATGACCAGAGAAGCTTCAGGTGAAGATGCAGCGATTGTCCTAGGCATGGTACACACAGGGAAAAGTTCATTAATTAATTACTTAATTGGCAATAAATTAAGGGGTGTGAAATATTCGCAGTATGGTGAATTTAAAATAATAAAAGATGACAATCGATCCAAAGGACCGGAAATTGGTTTTGGATTAACGCCAGAAACTACAATTCCTACAAAATGGATATCAGATAAATTGCCTGGTTTGAGCATTTTTGATTTTCCTGGATATAGTGACTTTAGAGAATCATTACAAGAAATCACTAATTCTTTTTATCTCTATCATTTGGCAAAAAAAGTAAAATCTTTAAAATTTATTTTAGTTATTAATTTTCTTGACATTGATAGGGATACTGTGAATCCACTGCTAAAATCATTGCAGTATTCTGAGAAATTATTTGGAAATAAGTTCGAAATGTTTTTTCCAAGTATTTCAGTGATTTTCTCAAAAGTACCCCGACAACAGTATAACATTGCAGTTGACATGGAAATGATTAAACATTTATTGAATGAAAAAGTAGACGTTACAACAGGAGAATACAATAATATAAAAAATTTTCTTAATTATATCATAAAAAATAATGATCGTATTGGATTATTCCGAAAGTCTGTAAATAATAAAACTATTACATCCGATATTGACTTTAATATTTTTGCGGCCATTAGGAACTCCAGAAGCGTACAGAGAAATGATCTCCAGTATGTGCTTCCAAGTATTTCAGATCGTTCTATGGTTTGCCTGCTCAAAATTCAACACAACTTAGAAATGGAAATAAGGATAATAGCGCAATCATTATATGAAATATTCAAAAAAATGAGGACTGAATGGACAGAATTAGTAAAAAATCGAGATGATGAAGCAATTCCAAAGATTCAAACAAACTTAAACTATATTGAAGATCTACTACGCAATTCTATTACAAAAGAAACTACTATTTACGAAAATAGTAAAACTATTGAAAAAATTGATATTAAATTGAAGAAAAAGATTGATAAAAGTAATTTGTTAACAAAGGTTGAAATGTTTACGCTTTTTTCCGATATCTTAAAGTTGAATGACAATGAAAAATTGCATGAAATTTATGGAAATTTAATAAAAATTTTACTAAATGAAGTTAGGATTGCAAGGAATGAATTTTTAACTCTTACAGCAACAGAGTTTCCAGAACTTACTACTGACATTACAGAAAAACCTACTGAGGGCACAAAACAATTTACTGATATTACAGAAGATTCGGAGAACATTACAGAAAATTTAACGGAGGACACAGAACAATCTACGGATGTTATAGAAGGTTTTGAGGACATTACAGAAAATCTTACGGAGAACACAAAACAATCTACGGTTGTTATAGAAAATCCTTCGGACATTACAGAAGATTCTACTGACATTGTAAAAAATTCTACAGACATTACAGAATATCTTGCAAATAATCCGTAACATCCGTGCTACTCCTTAACATTATTTTATTAACATGTTTTTACGCATCCAAACATGACGCAATTATTATCCTCTGAACACTAAAACGTCTTTGTTCTGGAAACGTTTCTTAAAAGTTTTTAGATCGTTACATGTTCGCTACATAATGTCTTAAGAACGTCCGTTATTCTAAAAACGTTTTTTGAACATAAAACGTTCTTAAGATGTTATGTGGAGAACATGAAAGGTTCTAAAAACGTTTTAGGAACGTTTTTAGAACAAAGACGTTGCCGTGCCCACAGGGTATGTTTCCAATCATTATTATTATTTTTAATTATAACTTTTTAATTCTGATTAAGGTCCACCTCCACAACTGTTTTAACCAGAGTTTTAGTCGTTAAACTGGATCTAACTACATTACTAGGTATAAACCAAGTTCACCAAATTAAACTCCCGTTAAAAGAAGTTGTCGAACCGGACCTTAGTCTTTAAATTTTCCAATACAATCTCACTTACAATGGTTTTACGAATTATTAAAAAAAATAAGCATTGTTTGAAAATACAATTTTTAATTTTACTTTAAAGTTTTTGTATATTACATGAAGATAAACAAAGATTTAAAATTATTTAGAAAGTTTTTTAATGTTTTATTTTAACGTTTTCTTATTTATTTCCTCAGAAATATGTCAACATAGATAAACGTAAAAATCACATGTTATACAAACTTTAAAAAAAATGTGTATTAGAAATAGAAATTAGTAATAAAAATGTTTGCCTTTAAAATTATTATTACGTTAATTATGTTTTATTAATTTAACATTTCTTATTGCAACCTGAAACAAGTTATGATAAGTATACTCCTACTTTTTTAAATGATTGACCTTGAGATTTGTTTATCATTATAAAAAATCCTAGTCCAATAGGAAATTGTTTTCTTAACATTTTGAAATGGCATTTTAATAGTCAAAATTTAATTGCAACAAAAATAGATTACAAATTTACAAATCGTAATGATTGTTTAGGAAATTATTGCTTGGGTAATTATTTACCTGGTAATTCAATAAAAAATAATTTTATAATTTATACAAAGTCAAGCCCTGTTCATATAGTTGTTTTATTTATTTTTTATTAATTGTTAATTTGTTTAAACTTTAATTTGTTTATTATTCTATTTTTTATAATTATCCTACGAACGAATGATAAAAATTATCTATATGGTATCCCCAACGAGTTATTGTAAGCTTATTTTAAAAATTTTCTTCAAACTTCGAGGGATTTTCCAGAAGTTTCAACCTAAATATTACATTCGGAGACCATTTAATATAAAGTATATTTGATCAAATCAATATTCTTTTAACGTTATATAATTGCAAACATTGAAGTTATATTTATATAGAAGTATATTTCTAGAAAATATTTGATTCTTTAAATTAATGTAAAATAATTTTCTAAATCCTGTAATAATATGAAACAATAACATTTTCAAAATATTCGTTAGGTATTATTTAAAAGTTTTGGACTCTAGGTAGCTGAAAAATAAATATTTTATATTGTAAATATTTCCAATATGTGCATTATTATCAATCTTAGAGAAATATTGTATATTCTCAATAGTAACAAAAGTGATAATAAAAAAACTAATACTTTCTCATGTGATGAGAATGTAATATAACATTCACGTTTCCAACACTACTTTCATGATTTCTCGATACACTTGTAGCTTCAGCATTGGTAAACGAAATATAAAATTCAGTGAAATGTTAAATATTCAATTGATAAACATTTGCAAACGCCACATAGTTTTTTGCCACGTTGCATACGATTGTAAATAATTAATACAGATTTAAGTTTATCTGATTTATTCTTCTTATTAAATACAAAAATTATTTGGACAGCAAACCTGTAAGTATTTAATTCTTTCAAGTCGAATACATTTGAAAAATTCTAATTGTGGATTATTATAATAGCAAGAGTAGTCTGACGAATAATAAATCATAATTTTTAATAATGTCTAATCAATTGTTACGTCATTAAAGTGCTTTTCAATTAAAAATACTCGCCTTTATCTTGAACATTTTTGTAAGGAATGTAAAATATTGTTGTACGCATTTCAAAAATCAATTATTTAATTGTTATTTTGACAATATACTATTTGTATAGACAATTATTCTATCCATAATAGCTAATTTAAAGATGTGTATTGGTTTACTTAAACCTCTACTGATATATTTATAATTGAACTATATTTATGTTCACATATTTTTTAGGTTTAATAAGATCAGGAATCAGTTACAATAATTGTTCCCCTTAAAAATTATTAATTATGATAAGAATTGCAATCATTTCCCTGCTAGTCTCATTGATCTACGGACAAATTTGTACATTAACTAAAGAAGAAATAAGACAGTTGGAAAAATCATTTATTGAAGCAAAGCATTATATGCAAAAAATAGCTGCAAATGAAGATGCAGCCATTTGCATAGGCACCGCAAGAGCAGGGAAAAGTACATTAATTAATTACTTAAAAGGCAATGAATTAAGGGGCGTGAAATATTCGCGATTTGGTGAATTTAAAATAATTAAAGCAAATGAACGATCCGAAGGACCGGAAATTGGTGCTGGACCAACATCAAAAACTACAATTCCCACTAAATGGAAATCAGATAAGTTGCCTGGTTTAAGCATTTTTGATTGTCCTGGATTTCAAGACAATAGAGGACCAGTACAAGACATCACTAATTCTTTTTATATCTATCATTTGGTGAGAAAAGTTAAATCTTTAAAATTTATTTTGGTTATTAATTTCGGCGATATTGAACGGGCTAATATCAAACCTTTCCTGAGACTTTTACTTGATTTTGAAAAACTTTTTGAAAATAAGTTTCAAGAGATATTTTCAAGTATATCGGTAATTGTCTCAAAAACACCGAATGTACTGTATGAAACAACAGTTGACATTGAAATGATTCAATACATGTTGAGACAAAGAGTTTCCAAACCTGAAGAAACACCTTTCAATAATATAAAAAATTTTCTTGATTATATAATGAAAAATAGAAATCGTATTGGATTATTTAGACAAGCAAGAGCTGACAAAATTGTTACTTCTGACATCGATTTTCATATTATTTCGGCCATTAATAATTCGGGAAAAGTAGAGAAAAGCGTTCTTCAGAATGTTGCTCCAAGTATATCAGACAGTTCTTTGATGTGCTTGCACAATGCCATAAACAAATGGGTCTCAATAACTAAAATTAATAAAATTCAGACATATATATTAGATGCTTTTTCTAAAATGCTGTATGAATGGACAAAAAATAAGAGTCTGGATAATAACGTATTGGTAAAGAATCAAAGGAACTTAATTTTCATTGAAGGATTACTAAATTATTCTATCACAAATGATATTGATATTTATGAAAATATTGAAACGATAAGGAAAATTGATAGAAAATTGAAGGAGGTGATTGATAAAGGAAAATTGTTTAAAAAAGTTGAATTATTTGAGTTTTTTTCTCATTTGTTGAAATTGAATGAAAATGAACACTTGCATCAGTCATTTAGGACTCTAATGTTGTCATTGCATACTGCTGTTAAAATAACAATTTATAAAATTGATGTGTTAAATGGAGAAATGGCAAAACAAGAGTTTAAAAATAAAACATATAAAGAAATAAATGATGTTGACAAAAATATTAATGAATTTAAAAATAAAACGAAAAACTCAGATGCAAAAACTTATAATAGTTATATGGATAAAGTTAAAGCCTTTTTGAATTTGGTTCTCATTATTGCTTCTTGAGATACGTAATATTACAGTGATATTAAAAAGTCCGCCTGATATATGGTAATTTGACTAGATGTTGCTATAATATGACTTCCGGTTCCGTTTCGGTATATATTCGCGTTTCGAAAGGGTTAAAAGTTTTTGGAATAATTTTTAAGGATTGTCGGTTTTTTGATAGATTATTTATTTTTGTAAAGGGGGATAAAGAAGCGTATATGTTAAGTGTTTTTGTAAATTTATCCCAACAAACCTTATTATTTATAATATTAACCTATTCTTATGTATGCTTAATATAGAAATTAATAAATAAAATTAATAAAATAAAACTTAACCTTATTACCCACTTCCTCTGACTTAAAACTATCTACTCTTATCCCAGTTCCTCCCTCACCATATACCCCAGACAGTTCCAATCCACCCCCATAGTCCATGCTAACAATCTTTCATGCAAACTTTCAATCTCACTCCATCCCCTCATACGCCAACGTGTATACCCTCCTTTTTCTCAAAATCACTTACACTTTTCCTTTCCATTTTCTCTTCTAAATCAGCCATCAGCACATTAAACAAGATTGCACTAAGGAGGCAGTTCTGTCTTAACCATTTACCCAACCAAAACTCTTCCCCAATTTCTTCCCAATTTTTACCTTCTCCCTTGTCAACTTCTTCGCTTTTTATGATATCTGTCTCTGATTGTTTTAAATGTTTACATAGAAACCACCCTTTAATAACGCCGCTTTTTGTTCTAATTTGTTATAACACCATTTTTGACATCAATTATGACGCCAACAATTGTACTAAAATCTAATGGTCCACGATCTACACCAGGAACTGACTAAGTGACGCAAGTACCAATTATTAAGAGAGGAAATTGTATTTCAGAGAAGGTTTTCATTTTGCCAGCTGCGATTTTTTGCCGATTGTAACAGTCCTGTTGATTATTAACTAAATTTATTCCCTGAATGCAAATAGAACATATGACATTATTGTCAGTTCCTAAGTCTAATGTTCCGCAATCAATGTGGATATATGCAAATCATATTTTGTACAATTTATGCTATCGTTAGAATTTAATTTCAAATCACACGTTCCGCAAAGATTTGTTTCATTCTAATAAAAAATTGTACAATTTGTACTTTTTAATTTACCTGAACTTCAAAACAACCGCGGGACCAGTTATTTGATTGGTGGTCCACCATCCAAGATCGCAACATATTCTCGATGTCAGCATTTGACCTTTTGACGCTATACCTTGCGATTGTAGATGTCGTGGTCTCCCGTGTACAATTTTTCAGTATGGAAAAATAACTGCAAGTTCATTTGTCACGGCAGCAACGCGAATTCTCGGCCATTATCACTTTGGAGGATACAAGGAGCGCCAAAAGTAAAAATTTTTTTTAGATAATTCCTCTGCAACGTTTACCGCATGCTTTGATTTTAATGGTCGCAATTGTAAAAATTTGGTTGCATGGAAATTTTGACATCCATAGGATGTCCTTAAGATATCTCAGGACATGCATCCAGGACATCCATGCAGGGTATCATTATAAATTTGTTTCCTTCGGGAACAATTTTAAATTTCTTAGTCCAACATTTTACGTAAGCCATTTTGAATTTTGAAAATCTGACTTTAAATTCAAATTCAGCGACCTCGAAAACATCTTACTTATATTTTTAGGATAAATATCAACTGTATTATTTAACCAGTCGTTAAATTTTTCATGGTCGGCATATTAGTATCCGTCGACTCAAAAGCAAAAAAAAATATGACAATAAAAAATATCGTATATCAGTATCACTCATTTTATGTATATTCGATGTATGTGTAATTTAGGAATTGGTTGACAAAATATAAAATATATAGTGACATTTAAAATATTTGTAAAATCAACTCAGTTTTTTGCCACGTTGAATTCGATTTTAAATAATTAATACAAATTTACATTTTGTTTGACTGTTTTCTTTTTATAAAAAAACCAATCAATTGGACACCAAGCCTGTAAGTATTTCATTCTTTAAAGTCGAATAAACAAGCTATTCTAATTATGGATTAATTAATTAATTTAATTTAGAATTTAACCATATATTTTTGTTCTTATATTTTTTAGGTTTAATAATATCATCCGGAATTAGTTACAACCATATTTGATAATTGTTCTCTTAAAAAATTATTAATTATGATAAAAATTACAATCATTTCCCTGCTAATCTCATTGATCTATGGACAAATTTGTACATTAACTAATGAAGAAATAAAACAGTTGGAAAAATCCTTTATTAAAGCAAAGAATTATATGCAAAAAGAAGCTACAAATGAAGATGCAGCGATTTGCATAGGCACCGCAAGAGCAGGGAAAAGTACATTAATTAATTACTTAATGGGCAATGAATTAAGGGGCGTGAAATATTCGCGATTTGGGGAATTTAAAATAATTAAAGCAAATGAACGATCCGAAGGACCGGAAATTGGTGCTGGACCAACATCAAAAACTACAATTCCCACTAAATGGAAATCAGATAAATTGCATGGTTTGATCATTTTTGATTCACCTGGATTTCAAGACAATAGAGGACCAGTACAAGACATCACTAATTCTTTTTATATCTATCAATTGGTGAAAAAAGTTAAATCTTTAAAATTTATTTTAGTTATCAATTTTGGCGACATTGAACGGGCTAATATTAAACCTTTCCTGAGACTTTTACTTGATTTTGAAAAACTTTTTGAAAATAAGTTTCAAGAGATATTTCCAAGTATATCGGTAATTGTCTCAAAAACACCGAATGTACTGTATGAAACAACAGTTGACATTGAAATGATTCAATATATGTTGAGACAAAGAGTATCCACAACTAAGGAAACGTCTTTTAATAATATAAAAAAATGTCTTGATTATATAATGAAAAATAGTAATCGTATTGGATTATTTAAACAAGCAAGAGCTGACAAAATTGTTACTTCTGACATCGATTTTCATATTATTTCAGCCATTAATAATTCGGGAAAAGTAGAGAAAAGCGTTCTTCAGAATGTTGCTCCAAGTATATCAGACAGTTCTTTGCTTTGCCTGCACAATGCCAAAAATGAATGGGTCTCAATAACTAAAATTATTAATATACAGAAATCTATATCCACTTTCTTCACTAATATGCTGATTGAATGGAGAAATTTGAATAAAACTCTGGATAGTAACGCAATAAAAAAGATTCAAACGAACTTAAGTTACATTGAAGGTAAACTAAATGATTCTGTCACAAATGATATTGATATTTACGAAAATATTGAAACGATAAAGAAAATTGATGGAAAATTGAAGGAGATGATTGATAATAGTAGCTTGTTGAGAAATGTTGAATTATTTGATTTTTTTTCTCATTTGTTGAGATTGAATGAAAGTGAACATTTGCAACAATCTTTTCGGGTTCTAATGTTGTCTTTACATACTACTGTTAAAATGGAAATGAATGAAATTTTATTGTTAAATGAAAAAATGTCAATGCTAGAATTTCAGAAAAAACAAAATACATTATATAAAGAATTTAACAAAATCTGCAGTATAATTAAAAATGAAATAGAAAACTCAAGTGCAATAGCTAACACTAGTTTAGAGACAGAACTCGAAAATAATTTCTGTATTCAATTTGTGACATTTTCCATGTTCACTTAGTTTAACAATTTTTCTATAAGGTTAACAGAAGGTTGCATGGTAAAAAGTTTAGTCAACCTTATTTTTGTAAATCTACATATGAATTTTTTATATAAATTCAAGTAAAAGAATTACTAATACTTACTGTTTACAAAGTAATTTCTTAATTATATGGATAAAAGATAAAATATATTTTAAAACTGCATTTCTTTGCTTAGTTATTTACTGAATTCACATACAGTACTCTTTTTCCTTTTTTTCCTTGACCGTTTTCCTTAAAATCAATTTATTACTATTGAATATCACAGTTGTGTCTCAGAGATCAAATTTCCTTCTTTTTATATTTTTTTATATATATTCTTATATAAGTAAATACAAGTAATATCAAGAAAGATTTATTTTTTCTTCTATTTATCTACTTAGTGTATATTTTTTTCATTGGAATTTTCTGGTAGTGCATTTCCTTCCAATTCTGCAAACTTTTGGCGTATTGCTTCATCAATTTGTCGCTTATATGATTCCATTTCCTTTCGTTTCATCAATCCTTCATAAATTTTTTGCTCATTCATTAACCTGCGCTCATTTTCCTTCTCGTTAATCTATTGTAAAATAATATATTTATAGAGAAAATATAATATGTAACGGTATACTGCCGTCCTGATGAAAAAAATCCGTTTCTTTTTGCAATGACTAGGAGATTAGTATTTTATTTACACATACTTGTTTTAGAATTTCATTTCTGTAATAAATCGCCTCTTGCTGTTTTCTATTTCTATCCTTCAATTCATTACTGTTTGCCTGACTTTGAATGGAGGCAAACTTATCTAATTGTTCCTTATCTCGTTTAATTTCTAAAGCCAACATAATTTGCTTCTCTCTAATTTGTTCCTCTCTTGACAATTTTAATAACATTTCATTTTTTGCTGCTTCTAAAGCTTCTTCCTTTTCCTTTAACTTCCAGGCTCTTTCAACTTTTTCTTGAATTCTTAAAGTGTTTATTTCCTGCTGCAAATTCTGCAATATTTTATAGGTTCGAAAATTAAACTTTGGGAGAATATTTAGAAGAGAATCATCAGATAGTAACCCAGGCATTAAGTTACCTTCATTTTAGAAAAATTCTGTATTTCAAGTGATACTTTTTCCTTTGTCTTCTCTCTTTGATGTCTTATTAATTTCTGCTTAAGTACATTCTCACGGTCTCGTTCTTGTCTCATTCGATGATATTCTTGAATTCTATAAAATTTTAAATTTTAAATTAAAGAAAATTAGGAAATAAATTATTAATATATGATAATTTATAATTTACCTAGCTTCCATTATTTTACTTTCTTCTTTCTCAACATTTTTAAAATGCTTTAATTGATTATTGATGTCGGACAAATTCTTTCGAATTTTTGCATTTTCAACCTCTTGTGCTTTAAGTTTGGAAATTTCTTCTTTTTCATTCATAATTCTCGCGTAATTATTCAAACTATTTTCCTCCTGCTTTCTTTGTATTTCTATTTGTCGTTTTATATCATTTTCCGTTATTTGCGTTTTTAGTGCATCAGCATAATGTCGTTTCATTTTATATTCTTCTTCCTTCTTTTCAATTTCCAATTTAATTGCTAATCTTCTTTCATTCTCCATCATGTCGTTAATGTTTTGTGTTTCCATTTTTAGTTCTTGATTAATAATTTCCTTTTCAGCAATCTTTAAAATAGAAATAATTATCATTATTAAAAAAAAAAAAAAAAAAAAAAAAAAAAAAGAGGAGGTTTTAGTGAATAATGACTGAAAATTTAGTAAATTTTTTACTACTCTCTGACTTATTTGTAAAAATTTAGCAACTCACTTGTGCATCTCTTACAGCTCTGCACTTTTTTTCTAATATAATTCGCGAACACTTTTGAACCTCTTCGTCTTGTTCCATTCTAAGATTATTAGCTCTTTGCAAAAGGTGCATAGAACGTTTACGCGCTTCCGATAGAACTTCATCTAGTTTGTGATTGTTTGCATTTACTTTTTTAGAGTCAATTTTGTTAAATTTCGTTTGCCTTTCCTGACTTTCAATAATCAAATCATTCTTTTTCTTTTCCTCGGACAATAAATTTAATTGAATTTCTCTATTTGAAAGAACTTTACCCAAATTTTTGTAGTACTTAAATTTTTCTGATGTAATTATTTGTGGAACTGCAGAAGCCATTTTCTAATTTTGTAAAATACCTTTAAAAAAAATAGTTTACTTTAGTTATTATATTGGATTTAATGGATCGCTAGCTTATATTTATTTAACTATATAAAATTTAAATATAGAATCATGAAAAATTAAAAATTTTGTTCCGTGTTTAGATTAATTTCATTTTATTGTAATTTAACCTTTCAAATGATTAATAAAAAAAAGTTATAATTTTATCCACATGTATATTACCTTTTTTGATGATAAAATTAAATAGATATAAATGTAAACTTTAATAATTTTCTAAATAGTTGACATCAGTTGACATTAACAAATATTTGTGTTATAATTTTCTTAGATTTTCCCCAATGAATTAAATTTGCACCACATTTGTCACTTCAATTATAAATTGTTTTGACATTCAACATAATAATAGTAAAAGATAACTTCAATAAAATCACCTGTTGACTAATTCACTCCATGAAGTATTTATTTAAATTAATTTACACCAAACGGTCTATTATTTTGTTTTCAAATGACTAAAATTAAATTAAACTTCTTTCTAGTAGAAGATGTTTGTATTAAATCAATATTAACCTGACAACGTATATACATGTATCTTTAGTACCTGTTACGTCTCAATAATGAAAGTAAACATACTAATAATTACATTTTATTTATTGTTTACATCATTATTTAAATTTAGATAATAAAACTATTTATTGAAAATTTGAAACCCTTCACAATCGAGAGAACATAGATTTACAAGTCTTATTGAAAATACTAAAAGAAAATTTGAATTTTTTTTTTAAATCTGCCATTTTGTGAAAAATGATATTTTTTTAATTCCTTCGATCAAAGACAACATTTTCTTGTAAAATAACGGAATCTATTTTATTTTTTAATTTCGGATGATTCTGTCAGAAGTTATGTTGGTCACCGCGAAATACAGTTTTTTCGAAAATCTTTGGGAGATTGCATACAAAGGACAGAAAAATTAATATTTTTATATATAAAAAATATTTTTTTTAAATACACTAAAAGATGTATAATAATATAGAAAAACTTTCATTTTAAGAAATAAATATTCCTTTAAAAAAAATTCCCAAAAAACTGCATTTTTCCGACCCCCTGTCTAGGCGGTACTCTCTAAATCTGAATCAGCGAAATTTCACTGATTCTCAGCGATAAGTATGCCACTATTTTAAAACAGCGTATATGCGCTAATTAATCAGTGAAGTTTCACTGATTATTTAGTGAAATTTCACTAATTCACAGCGCATATACGCTAATTGAAATAGTGGCATACTTATCGCTGATTCAAATTTAGAGAGTATAACACCTTAAATTTACAAATATTTACATAATTGAAATCCCTTTTTTTATATAAAAACTCAAATTTTGTTTAAACAATTTCTTACTCTTAATAAATGTAAACCATTTAAAATTTAAATTTTATATAATTCATCAACTATATTTCAATATTATGAAATATAAATTGTTTAATATAATTTAAAATTACTAATTACTAAAATTAGGAAAATTCAATTATTTAATTGTTTAAATAAAACACTGTTCAGAAATTAATTCTTTAATAATCTTAATTTTATTTCAACATGGTGAACTAATATAAAAATTGTTTAATTAAAACACTAATAATAATTTGCTAAAATTAGTGACAAATTAATTATTTAATTGCTAAAAGAAATAATCTTAATATTTTTGTAGAAAATTCTCAATTTTCATAAGGAAATAATTTGCATCAATTTTCTTTCTTAATTTCAATAATTTTAATAAAATTCAAAAAAATGCAATTTTTTTTTTAATAAAGGAAAAAAATGGTTAGAAATTCTATCTTTTGACGAATTTTAATAAAAAATTTTAGAATGGTAGTAGTTACATTTTTCAAGGAAATTGATTAAAATATTGTATTAAAAATAATTGAAATTCTGCGATGAGTTTTATTATTTCTAAAAATAATAATTGAATTATTATTGAGAAGAAACTTATAAAATATTTGTAAATATTAAATTCCTGTGAAATTTTTATTATTTATGAAAATAATTAATAATGTCTGCGTACAATTTTATGAAAATATATAGTAGATATTGAAAATCATTGAAATGAGGAAAATTTTTTGAAAATAATTGAAATTTTGACAAGAATTTTATTAAAATTTTTAAAAATAATTGAATTTTGAAGAATTTTTTTTATTTATAAAGATAATAATTGGGATTTTGTCGAAATTTTTTTGTAAATTTTAAACATAATTGAATTTTGTGATAAGAATTTGATGACTTTTGGAAATAATTGAATTTCTGCAATCATATTGTAACTTCGTCAAAATTCAATTTTTATTTTAGTGTTTTTAACTAAAATTCTTCTATAAAACCATTATTTTTAAAAATTAATTAAATATATATTGACAAATTTAACTAATTTTAGCAGATTTTGAATTATTAAAATTTTTTAAAAATCTGAGTTCAGCCCTAAAAAAATTTGATTTTAAATACATATATATACAAAAGTTTGACTAGAGTGCGAAAGAGAAAAAGATATTTGCTCCTCGCTTTCTGTTCTTTTCGTTCTACGTCACCGTCTCACCGTGAGATTAGACCTTTATAAAACGCTATAATTCTAGGAACTTTCTACTTATAACTATACAACTTGTAGAGTTTGTTTATACTCCTATTCCTATTCTTCTATTCTCCCGGAATCGCTAGAAACACGTCGCAGTATGATGTTTACATTATTTTTGTTATAATACTTTTCTACTAAGTAAAAAGCAACGTTATTTAATTTCACTTCAACATTGACTGTTTGAATTATGGAAGAAGTAACAAACGATGATTTAGTTATTCCTGAGAAAAAATATGAATGTGAGTATATAAAATACTTATAAAAATGACGTTTAATTAAAATATTTTTTGCTCCATTTACGTGCACGTGCTTTATACGCTGCAGACGACAATCTTTCATTAAAAATTAAATGTTAATATAATTTACAAATTTTAATGGTTAATAATGTTATACGTGAGATTTTGAAATATTTTTATTAAAAGATTTTTTTTTTAAGAATACAGTCAACAGGAATATAATATTTACAATTTACATTATTTAAAAAGAGGTTAGGAAATTTGCCTTTTTACATACCTACATCAAAATAAATTATTTCAGTGTTTTCTATTTTATAATCTATTCACATGAATTTTTATTTAAATTATATCTATATAAAAATTATAAGTATAGTTATAGTTAATTTATTAATATGAATATTTTTCTAATATAACATTTGAAATTTTTTTTAGATTTGGATCATACTGCAGACATTCAGTAAGTAAATATGGATGAAGTTCATAATCATAAATTGCAATAATGAATTTTTGAAATTAAAACAAAAATAAAGGGAAACGCTTTATTTACCTACTCATGAAACTGAAACGAATAATTCTATTAGTTTTCTCGATGTTCTTCGTATCAAACAAAATAAAATTATAAAGGATCAGAATTCTTTGCAGAAATTCAATTATTTTTAAAAAATCTAAAAAAAATTGTCAACATTTCAATTATCTTTATAAATGAATAGCAAAATTCTTCGAGAAAATTAAATTATTTTCAGTAATTTTATTGAAATTCATTGCAAAATTCAATTATTTTAACATAAATATTAATATTCATAACAAGAATTCAATTATCTTCAAAATAAAATTCAATTATTTTTAAAAAATTTTCTTAATTCAAAGATGTTTAATATTCTACAATTTTAATAAAATTTCTCAAAAGAATTCAATTATTAAATAAAAATTTGGTAATATTCTACACGAACAATCAATTATTTTCCAAAAAAATAAAAATTACAGTTTGTATTTAAATAATTGAATTCTCGTAGAATTTTTCTAATAAAAATTGATTTAAAAATTAATTTCAGTTAAAGGTTTAGATAATAATATTGAATTTTTGAGAAGTAACTAATAATTGCAATTTATAGAAATAATTGAATTTCGTGAAGGTCTCAAATTAAAATCTTTGAAAATTTGAATTTTTCATACTTTTAATTAAAAATTCTGTGGAACTAATTTTTTTTCAAAAAGCTTAAACGAAATTTTTGTTGAAATAATTTCAAGTTTTTATTTTCTAATAATATATATTTAAATGGAAGAATTTACGAATAATCGAAATTTCAGTATAAAATTGATTTGTAAACAATTGAATTTATAATAGATTTATTTTGTGTTTTTTGGTTTTAATTCTTAATTTAAATTTACAATTCTAAACAAAAATAATTTTATTAGGTTACATGCCTGGGGAAGTACTCTCAAGGAAGCATTCGAACAATGTGGAATGGCCATGTATGGATATATGACGGAAATAGAAAGAGTAGAAATAAAAGAAATACATAATTTGGAAGCTGAAGGGCATGATATGGAGAGTCTACTCTTTCATTTTTTAGATGAATTATTATTTCTCTTTTCTGCAGATCCATTTATAATAGGAAAAGTAAGTTTTCCTACCAAGAATTATATTTTTAAAAGAAACTAATCCTTATTAAACAAAATTATAATTTGATCCTATATTTCTTTAATCTTTTCTAATCTAAATTCTTTCTTAATAAAGGGTTTTTTTAGTTTTTAACTAAAACGTAATTATAACAATTATATTTCCATTCAATTTTTAATCGAATAATGGTACTAATTGAACATATTATTTGGGACAATTTTATTTAACAGTGTTTTACATATGGTTTTCTTTTCTTCTTTTATTAGAATATCAGGCTTTGCACTCATTTACCGAAACCTACTATTTACTATTTTTTTACTATTTCTGTTTTTTTAAAACTTCCACTACTTTAAATTTGCGAATACTAGAAATCAAAAAACTATTCTCAAAAATTATAGTCAAATTCTTTAAAACGATTCACTTATTTTCAAAAAATATTCGAAATTCAATTATTTTCATAAATAATAAAATTCCCACAGAAATTCAATTAATTTAGAACAGTATTTTCAAAAAAAAAAAATTACGAAAAACTCAATTATATAACAAAATTTTTATACAAATTCTTCACAATAATTCAATTACTTTCACCAATTATAACATTTTTCATTGAGATTTCAATTTAAAAAAAATTTTTTTTTTGATAAAATTCTAAGCATGAATTCAATTATTTTTACAAATAATAAAACTCATCGAAGAATTGCAATTATTTTTAATACTATTTTAAATTAATTAATCGAAAAATTCAATTATTTTCACAAATAAATTTTTTCATAAGAATTCAATTATTTAAAATAAAATTTTCATAATATTTATTATATTTTGAAAAAAATTAATTATTTGAATCAATGTTTAGAAAATTCTTATCAAGAATTTAATTATTTTCAAAAATACCAAAATTTTTAACTGAAATTCAATTATTTTTTTAAAAATTTTAATAACATTTTTCGCAATAATTCAATGTTTTTCATAAATAATAAAATTCTTCTCAGGAATGCAATTATTTTTGAAAATTTTTATAAAATTCTTTGCAACTACTCAGCTAGTTTCATGAATAATAAAATTCATCACAGGATTTCAATTATTTTTAATATAATTTTACAGGAATTGATCAAAAAATGTAATTATTCTTAAAAAATTAATTTCAATTCTTCGAAAAAATCAATTATTTAGAAAATTGTTTTTTTAAATTCCTTTGGGAAATTTCCATTATTATTTACAAAAATTTTAAAATTTTTAACAATTAATTAGAATTATTAAAGTCGTTCGAAAGAAATCAATTATTTTAAATGCAATTGTAATTAAATTTTTTTAAAATACATAATTCAATTATTTTTTTAGATTTTAATGAAATTCTTTCATGAATAATAAAATTCGTTGCTGTAACTTAATTTATTGGCAGAAGAAGAAAGAAGTAAATATTTTTGATGAAAATTAGGAAAAAGTCAGAAAAATAAAATATTGAATGGAATTTTTGTCAGTTTTGTGAAGTGTCTAAAACGAGTTTTTTTTGTCGTCAAGTTTAATTTTTCGATAGCTAGTTTTTTTTACCACTTTTTTATTTTGAAACCTATCATTTGCCACTTTTTTAAAATTAATTTTTGAGTGCGAAGTTTGGAATATGATAAAAGATATTATGATTCACTCGAAAGTTGTTCATAAAAGAATGTCTAATAGAATCCTACGACTATCTTAATTTTTATAGAGACTACCAATTCGCTAGAATCTATTTTTCTATAAATTCCTATTAGACATTTTTTTTAGAATTTCCTTCAATTTTCAACAAGTCTTTACGTTTTTAGGTGACATGACTGTGTGTTCTGAAAATGCTTTAAAAAAATGGTTAATGCGCCAAATGAGCAAAAATCAAACTTTGAGTAACTTTCTGAATAATTTCAAGAAAACTGATTATTTGATAAATATGCAAAACATTATTAAGTAAAATTGCTCCAGGTAAGATTGCAATTATGAAATTAAGATATAAATAATAAAAAATTTTTTTAATATATTATTTTTTTATTTAACTTTTTTTTTGAACAATTGTTTCGAGAAAAATTCTGGGAAAATTCAAATAATTTATTTTTCTCTTTTTTTTCAGAAAGTCAAAATCACCGAGTTTGATTGTACAAATTTCAAGATTAAGGTACGCGTTGCTGGCGAAACTTTTGATATTAGTAAACACAGTCAAGATTGTGAGGTTAAAGCAATAACTTACTCAGCTATGCAGATTTACGGCGAGCCTGATCGAGAGAAGAAAGAATTATTTGTAATTGTCGATATTTAATTTTTTAATATAACAACTTTTTGTTATATTTTTGCGTTTTCTACTAAGTTTCAAGTCTTGTTAAAAAGCTCTTTGTTTTTTAATCATGTTCAACAACTTAGTTGAATCGAACGATTAATTTTTGTTGATTTACATATATCTTCTACAAAGAAATTATCTCAATTTTCCTATAGATTTAATTTCTCTAAATTTTATTTTTTTATAAAATTTTTTAGGTGGATTGAATTTAAATTGTAAAGAAAATTCTGTATTTATACAAGTTTTTATTTTTTTTTTAAATAAATAAAAGTATTTTGTCAGAAGAATTTATTAAATGTTTAAGTGAAAATGTGCGGTGGAAGACGTTAAATAATAATATTTAAAAAACAATAAATAATATACATAATTAAAAAATCAACAAATAATATACAAAATAATAATTAAAAAACAACAAATACTACTTTAAATATTATCATTAATATTTAAAAACTTGAGAGAAGTTCAGAGTTTGAATCTAAATTCAATTAATAATAATTATTTAATTTAAAATCAATCAAGTTTTTTTTTAAATACTTGTGAAATGAATGGGAATCAAAACAAATTTTATTAAAAACAAATGTTTACTTAAAAATTATTTTCAAATTTATTTGTTTGAAACAATTATTTTTTCGACGAAACATTTTTTTTTTTAAATTGTTTGCAAATAATAGACAATTACTGAAATAATTAATATTTCTTTCGCATTAGTAGAAATAAAATTTTACGATTAAGAAATATCGAAACAATTATTTTAAAATTATTAAGAAAACCATTTTTCGGTACATTATTCAGTTAATGATATGAACTATATTAAAAATTAGCTTAATCTATTAATACGCTATGTAATATTAAAAACAAAAAAATTTGTCAGATTTTAAACATACACATTTTAACCCTTTCGTGACCCCGGGAAACCCAGTCATTGGATTTTGTTGAAACCTATTGTTACTCAGGGGTTTTTGGGGTCGCTGATTACGAATCAGAAGTCAGTTTTTCAAAATTTCGAAAATTCAAAATGGCGGATCTAATATGGCGGACATTTTTTTAAAATTGATCAAATTTACATAAAACTTGTCACTTCGGGGGTTTTCGGGGTCGATGATTACGAATCTAAAGTCAGATTTTCAAAATTCAAAATGGTGGACATTTTTTTCAAATCTGCTAAACTTCGCTTGAAACCATTTCGAATTTTTTTAAATCTGACTTCAGATTCGTAATCAGCGACCCCGAAAACCCCCGAGTAACAAGTTTTATGTAAATTTGAGCAATTTTGAAAAATGTCCGCCATTTTGAATTTTCAAAATTTTGAAAATCTGACTTTAAATTCGTAATCAGGGACCCCGTTTACCCTTGTGTGAGAAAAGTTTTAAGTGAATTTGAGGAAATTTTGAAAAATTAAATTTCGCTATTTTCTTATAAGTATTTTACCTATTCTTTATAATAATTATAATCGTACTACGTAATTTATTATTTTTTTATAATTGTAGCAGCGGCAATTTGGAACAGAAAGAAATTTACCGCAAATTAATTGGTTGACTTTTATAAGAATAACATAAATTTTTCTAAGTGGGACATAAATATGTCCCGGAGGCACGAAAGGGACATTACATTATTATTGATAAATTTATGAAAAGGTGGTTTGTTTCAGTTATCCTTATGCTAACTACATTTAGTCTCACTTGATAAATTACCCGTTATACATTCTACTTTAAAAATTTAATTTTTTTCAGGAAAAACTGAAAAAAATTGTCAAAATTTCATGTATTTCTATAGCTTAACTTTTAAAATTTTGCAATGTGGTACATACATATTTACTTATAAAAAAAAATTAATTTTTCTGTTACGGATTCTATTAAATGTTTAGAAATCTTGAAACTAATTTTTAATGACGTACAAAATTTGTGTAAGATTAATCATCGCAGATAATAAAACAATTATATTATCATTTTTTGGAAATTTATGTATAGTACATCACTGGAATGTAGGGGAAAAATCCTTAAAAGTCCACAAAGCTCTTAATGTTAGTTGAGAAGACTTAGGACTAATTCTGTTACTGTCAAAATTAAATTGAGTCAAAAAGTTTTTAACACCTTGTCTGCATTGTCACTTCTAATTTCTAATAAGATTTTGTCAAAATAGCATAAAGTAGAATGAAATATCACATTTGTAAGCTAACTCTGTATGATTTCAGGTTTTTAATTTAATGCTAACTGCTATTTACAGTAGATTTTAATTTAAAAAAAAATATATTGAGTTTTCAGAATTTAACTTCTTTTTTTTTGCTTAAAATGAAAAAGTTTCTTTCGAATTAAAATCTTATTGAACACAAATGTGGAATAATGAGAAAATAAATATTTCGAAAAGCTTTAATTCTGATTTTTAAAAAGTTTCAATTTCCATAGCGGTATTTTCATAGGCAGAAAGTTTCTCCTTCTTAGTATCATCGGCCCAAGGTTGTTTTTCCCCAGATGCAAAAATTCCGTAAATAATAGCTCCTATCAGATAAATTAATCCTGAGATAATAAAGACAATTCTCCATTCTGCGGCAGTCTGAAAAAAATAAACTTTAATGATTTAAAATTCACACAACATTTCAACAACGAAGATTTCTGAACTCAGCGTTCTAGCTTAATCTAAATTTGTTTAATCCCTTCACATAATCCACATATTGTCCCACTTATCGTCACCGTTTTTTGATGCATCTGGATTTTATATATATTTTTGAAGTTTGTTTAAAATTAGAAATTAAAAGTGGTTGTATTTACCTTATCTTGGACGATAAATCCTGTAATGATTGGACTGACAATACCGGGTAGAGTAGCAATTGTATTGCCTATACCCATTAGGACGCTTGCATGTTGAGGGGCAATATCTAGATGATTAACACTAACAAAAGACAATAATTTACTATTTACTAAAAGTTTATATGACAATATATTTAGAAGATAATGCGAATGAAAAAATTATACCTAAAACCTGACCAAGCAAAACCACCAAGACCAACAGCAATTGTTAGACAGGCAACTGCACCAAGAGGATTTGTAATAAATGCCGCCGCAGACATAAAAAGCGTTTGGCTTAAAAATGCTCCACAATTAAACGTTTTCCGCACCTGTAATATTATTTCATTTTAAAGTAACTAATTCTAGTAATTATTAATATTAGTTAGTAAATTCTAGGATAGTTTGTTTCTTACTTGTGTGGTAGTTAAAATCTTTTCTGATCTTAGATAATCCGCCAGGTGACCTGATAATTGAAGCACAATTGCCATCACTAAATAGGGAAGAGCTGACATAAAACCCGCTTTCTCCAATTTGTAATTCAAAACATCTGATAAATGATATAAATATAATTATTATAAACTTTTGATAATAAAGTAAAAGATGGTATCTTGATAGTATCTTAATGGTATAACTTCATTAATCATACCATTCATGTACGTTGGCAGTTGTGTCAGCATAGTATAAAATCCCCAATTTTCACTGAAATGAGCTGAAACAATAGCCCAAACTGGTGGAGACGTCAGCATTGACTTCCAAGGATGTACAATTTTCTGCATTCAAAAATAGAAAAAATTAATGTTTCCCATTTAGTATATAACTAGCAACAAATCGCGTGGCTCAAGCGCGTCGCTAACTTCTTACTACCTTTTTTTAAATAAAAATAGTAATTTTAAAAATAATAAAATTTGAAAATTTTCTAATTTAAATTTTTGTTGAAAATACTAAAAAATTCAATTTTGTAGAATTTAAAAATATTTGCAAAAATTCTTATTAAAATTCAACTATGTTCAAATCTTGAATAAAATTCTCGTAAAAATCCCAATTATCTTTATAAATAACAAAATTCTTCTCCAAAGTTCAATTATTTTCAGAAATTTTTCTAATTTTGATGATTTTCAATATCTACGATTTTTATAAAATATTTCCCAAAACGAATTCAATTATTTAAAAAAAAATTTTAATTTGAAATTTCAAAAAATGACAATTTTGAATAAATGAATTAAATAATAAAAATTTCAGAGGAATTCTATTATTTACAAATTTTTTATAAATTTCTTCGCAATAATTCAATTATTTTCATGAAGAATAACATTTTTTTAACCAGGAATTCAATTATTTTCATAAATAATAAAATTCTATAGGTATGTAGGTTTTCAATTATTTTCATAAATCATAAAAATCATCGCAGAATTTCAATTATTTTTGGTACAATGTTAATGGAATTTCTCAAAAAATGTAATTATTCTTAACATTTTTATTAAAATTAACTTTCAAAGTTTTTAATGAAATAATTTTTAACAATTCGATTTTTTTTCAAAATAATTTGAATTAAATTCTTCGTAGAATTAAATTAATTTCAATAATATCAAAATTCAATTATTTTTAATATCTACTATTTCAATAAAAATTCACAAAAGAATTCAATTATTTAAAAAGAAATATATTATTGAAATTCATCGCAAGAATTAAAGTATTTTTCATAAATAATAAAATTCTTCTCAGGTATTCAATTATTTTCAATACAATTATTAAAAAATTTGATTGTATTCAATAAATTAAAAAAATTTTTCAGAAAAATTCAATTATTTTCCAAAAATTTTTAATAAAATTCAAGAATTAATTGCTTAATTTCAATTATTAAGAAAGAGGATTATTGTAAAAACTTGAAATAAATTATTCATATAGAATTCAATTACTTTGAAAACTTGTAATTAAAATGATTAAAGAAAGTCCATTATTTTAAAGAAACTCAAAGAAATTCTTCAAAGAATTTAATTAAGATTATGTAGAATTTTAAAAAAATTCTTTTGATAAAATTATTTGCAAGAATTCAATGATTTGCAATTTTTTTTGCAATAATTCACTTGTTTTCATAAAAAATAAAATTCTTCGAAGAAATTCAATTATTATCAAATTTTTTGATAAAATTCTTTGCAAGAATTGAATCATTTGCAAATGTTTTATAAATTTTTTCGCAATAATTCAATTATTTAACAAAAAAAATTAATAAAAGTTCTTCATAAGAATTCAATTATTTTTGAAAATTTTAATAAAATTCGTTGCAAAAATTCAATTATTTTAAAAAATTTTGAAAAAATTCTTGGCAACAATTTCAATTATTTTCAAAAATTTTCCTCAATTCAATGATTTTTATAATATCTACTAAAATTTTTCAAAAGAATTCAATTATAAAAAATTTTATTGAAATTCTGCGCAAACATTTAATTATATTCATAAAATAATTAAAATTTCACAAGGAATTCAAATTGTATTTTCATAAATAATAAAATTTTTTAAGGAATTCAATTATTATTTTCATAAAAAATAATTTAAAATTCTAGAAAATAATAATTTAATTGAAATGATGAAAATAATTTTGATGAAGTTACAGTAACAATATTCTTATATTGTAAAATAATGATTTTATCTCTCGGTCGTCTTTAATTTATTAGAAAACATGAAGAAATCGATCACTCCGAGTCTTCGACTCGGAGCAATTGATATCTTCATGTTTTATAAACAATACTTTTATGAGTTGTTTAATTTAAAAAAGGTTTGAATTTTGAATTTTTGAATGTCTTAATTCCTGTGGAAAATCCTGTTCCAAAGATTAGATTAAAATATAAATTGTGCAAATATTTTTCTTCTTTTTCTAAAACAAAATAATAATTTTCTTAAAAAAATTGTGATTCAAAAAGAAAATAATGGAAAATAAATAAATTTTCTATTTCTTAACCACAGTTTTGTTTAATAATTTTCTAATTTTTTTAGAAGTAAAGAACAAAAATAATTTCAATTTGACAAAACATAATATTTAACAAAATTTTAGTCTTTTAATGAAAAGATGATGTAAAAAAAATTCTGATGATTTCTATTTTCTATCTAAAGTTAACAAAAACAAAAGTATAAACAAAAGACAATTTCAGAGTGTGAGGGACAGAAAAAGTGAATGAAAGAATGAAAGAACATTCAAATTAATATAGTTAATTAATTAATTAATTGAGGCGCTGGATGCTATAAAGTGTTAGAGTGAAACGCTATCTTCTGTGATACAAATTTCAATCGGTAAAGAAAATTATTTCTTGTAATTATAAACTAAACGCTAAGTTAAAGACTGGAATATTTTAAAACACTATTGAAATTACCTTTCGTTCAACATTTCCAAGGGAAAGTTTGATGTATTTTAATTCCCCTTGAGAAATGTAAGGATCATCCTCAGGCTTATCTTTGACGACAATCCACCAAGAAACGAACCAAATTAAACCAATTGCTCCAAAGACGTAAAAAATACTTTCCCAACCATATCTCTCTGCCATGATTCCACAAACTGGCATTGCAAACACGGTCCCAACAAAGCTGCCGGAAAAAGCTAATGTTGCAAGTTTTGATCTTTCCAGAGGTGGTGCCCAGTTGGCCCATACTGCATGAATACAAGGATAAGTAACACCCTACAAAATTTTTAGACTTATTAATTAATGTCAAGAATGTCAAGATTGTTGAAGGTTTAAATACCCCTAGGGATGTAATTTTACTATCAGAAATATTTACCTCGAAAATCCCTTCAATTATCCTTATGAATACAAGAAAGTACACACTACATCTTGTTATTTGTGGAGTGACAATGGTGAAAAGTGCAGTAACAGCGATACCTAGTCCAAAAACACGTTTTCCTCCAACTAAAGCACCTAGCCAACCACCTAATAATTGAGTACTAATATAGCCATAGAAGAAGGAACTTAAGATAAGACCTTGTAGTCTTCTATCCCAGTCGAACTCTTGATGCTAGTAAACAGTAAGAAAATTATATGATGATAACATTACTTTTGGTACATACAAGTTGGAAATCAAAACACAGTTTGGGAATCAGAAAGACGTCTTAGGGCCTTCTCTATATAGATAGGAGAGGTTTTCTCTTTATCAAGAATTTCCTGATTTATAATGTTATGCAGACAAAGTTATCCTGCAGCAATTTTTTTACATATGCCCCAGAAATATTTTAGGATTAGTTGAAATCCACTATAATCGTAGTGATATTTGTTAGTCGAGAGAATATTCCTGAACAGAGGAGAATGTAAACTCACATATCCAATAATGTCACCAGCATCGTTTTTTATAGTTCTGTTTTCAGTCATAGCTACAATAGCAACACTTAAATTTACACGTAATATGTACGAAACAAAGAATCCAAAAAATGCAAGCACTGCAACCACGTATCTTCGTTTTCGCCAAAAACACCATGTTGATTCATCTTCTTCTTTTAATTGTACTCTGAAATAAAAGGGAAATAATTACACAGATTTACAGGAGTTGATAAATTTCTTAATAATATCAAATTTCCTTGATATTTTTTTCGTCAACAATTTTTTCCCAATTAAGACAAACTGCGAGAAATGCAAAATTAAAATGTTTATACTTACGACCCATAATCTGTTTCTTTTGCCTCTGATACTTTTCTTCTCTCCATTCTGTAATGAAAGAAAGGATATCAATGAAATTCAATTATTTTTAGAAATTTTAATAAAATTCCTTTGCAAAATTCAATTATTTTCATAAATAACAATATTCATCAATCATCTCAAGAATTTAATTATTTACAAAAAAAATTTAACCAATATCTCGTCAACAATTCAATTATCTTTATAAATAATTAGCAAAATTTTTCGCAAAAAATTTAATTATTTTCAAAAATTTAAATAAAATTCTTTGCAAAATATCAATTATCATCAAAAGTTTTTCGCAATTCAATGATTTTTTTAAATATTTATTTATCATTTTAATAAAATTTAACACAAAATTTAATTATTGAAAAAAATTTGTCATACAATTCTACAAAAACATTCAATTATTTTCATCGCAGAATTTCAAATATTTTTAATACAATTTTAAATAAATTTTTCGAAAAACGCAATTATTCTTAAAAATTTTATTAAAACTGGACGAAAGAATTCAATTTTAAGAAACATTCAATTATTCAATAAAAAAAATAAAATTCGTTGCAATAATTTAATTATTTTCATAAATAACTTTTAATTCGTCGTAGAAAATCAATTATTTTCAAAAATTTTTAAGTAATTCTGCAAAAGAATTAAATTATTTTGGTAAGCAACAAAATTCCTCCCATAAAATCAACTATTATTTTTTAAGGAATTTTAATAAAATTCTTCTTCAAAATTCAATTATTTTAAGGAATTTTAATAAAATTCTTTTCGAAAATTCAATTAGTTTGATAAATATCAAAATTTATCACAAGAAATCAATTGTTTTGGAAATTAATAAAATAATTTGCAGAACGTTTTTGAATTATTTTTAAAAATTCTGATAAAATTCTTTAATTTAATATAAATTTTTGTAAAATTTTAACTAAATTCCTTAAAAAAAATTCATTATTTTCAAATGTTGTTATTAAAATTTTTCATAAAAATTGAATTTTAAGAAACATTTAATTATTCAAAAATAAATTATTTATTTTTGTATTTAAATAATTGAATTCTTGTAGAATTTTCTAATAAAAATTTATTTCAAAATTAGTTTCCGTTAAAATTTTAAATAATAATTGAATATTAAAAGCATTACAGCGTGAATTTTTTAGAAATATAATTGAATTTTGAAATGGTTTCAAATTAAAATCTTGAAAAATCTGAATTTTTTCCATACCTTTAAATTAAAACATCTGTGAAACTAATTTTTTCGAAAAATTTTATTTGAATTTCTTTTGAAATTATTAGAAGTTTTATTTTATTTTCTAATATTTATTTTAAAATGAAAAAAATTTTCGAATAAAAATAAAATAAAATAAAAAAAAAATTCGAATAAAATCGTAAAATTGAATTGTAAACAAATGGATTTGAAAATTGTCCATTATTGCCCTAGGGTTATAATGGCTACTTTATTGACCTGGACAATAAGGGTGACCTTAGTATGCGCCTGTACACGTAGGTATATGCAAAGTGACCATGCTTGAATTGCATCAAATATTTTAATAACAAAAAATTTCTGACATTGCATAAAGCTAAAATTTCAAGAGAAATAAACTCTAATTTAAATTTTATGGCGAAGAAAGATTAAGGTTGTAAATAACTAAAAATACTTAGATATTCCTTCGTGTATACGTTTATAAAGACCGAAGAGAAAATATATACTAGTTTGGTCAATTTGGCAGCGGGTTCAGTTAATAGAATAATTGACATTACCAATTCAATCTAGGAACAGAGATATGTGTACATCCCACGGTAACGAGACTTAAGTAGAATGAAATTAAAAACGAATTTCATTTTATTCCGGAAATTTCCTTTTATTTTTGATTCCGCGATTATATATCCACGATTACATTTATAATATATCATTTACAAAAAAAAAAAAATAAAATAGCAAAGATTTTTTACTTTCTTAATGAAAATGTATGCTCTAGTTAAAATAACACGTATAACTTTGACTGTAAGAAAGCATAAAAGAAATTTTATATAAGATTCATCATTACAGAATCCAATCGTTTAATAATAGAAACAATAGACATGTTATATAAATATAAATTTTATATAAACAAATGAATATAAATTTTATATAAACAAATGAATATAAATTTTATATAAACAATTATATTGTAAACATTATATAAATAATTAAACTAATGAAAATTTTTTTATTTAAAAGTAACATAACATGTTAAAAAAGTGTTTAGAAATTGAATTTTTCAAAAAAAAATTAAAAAAACAGATTGTTAGTTTAAATATTTCTTTGTTAACATAATTTAATCTTAGTCAAACGCAACGCATACGAAAATTTTAATTATTTTTATTTTTAGTATTTTCTTTCACAGTTTACGATATAATAATAATCTTAAGTCAAAATTAACAAAGAATAATTTTACTTTTCTACTTAATAAAAATTTTTTAGTTAAAATATAAAAGAGAGAAAAATTATAAGAAAATAATTTATTCTTGAAGTAAATAAATAAATAGGTATAGAAAAATTAAAAAGAATAATTAAAATGTTTCTTAATCCAGTAAAGAAAATATTTTAATGGTTATAACTACTTTTCAAATTTCGTCCGCCATATTGGATCCCCCATTTTGAATTTTCAAAAACTGATCTTGGATTTGTTATCAGCGACCCCAAAAACCCCTGGGTAGTAATTTTTATGAGATAACCTCGACTTTTTATTTTTTCGTCCATATTGGATCCATATTGGATCCGCCATTTTGTATTTTCAAAAACTGACCTAAGATTCGTAATCAGTGAGGCCGAGAAATTTTAAATCAAAGGCATGATTTTATTACTTTATATGTTACATCATAAAAATGTTTAAATTTTGTCTTGAGTAAAAACTATAAAATATTTTCTCAAATAAAATAAATTTTTTTTTTATATTTTCATATATCCTTGATAATTAATTTTTCCCAACATAAATTCTTACTCTTGAGTATGAAATAAAGTAATTTCGATAGAAAAAAATGTATAATTTTTTTATCTCCAATAAACAATATGAATGTTGATTTAATAGTATTTTTCAGTTAAACATACAACTTTAAAAATATACATCGATACAAAAAAATTACATAATTTTAAAATTGTTGACATCCATTTATGTATAACGTGAAATCGCAACTTCCTATTTGAAAATAAAAAACTTTAAAGAATTTTCTTTTCAAGTACTTTTTTTTAAATTACGACAATAAGAATAGCTTTTTTTTCTTCTTGGTTGTCTCCTTTACAAATATTTCTTAATTTTGAAAAATTTTTAAAAATTTTAATTTTTTTTTTTTAACAAAACTGTTGGTCTTTGGAAATTAAAAAAATAGAGAATTCTTAAAAATTATGACAATGGTGCTTTATTTTTCTCTCATGCAAAATTGAAAAGTTGGTGTAAATTATTGATCATTAGTATAAAAATGGACTTTAACAAATTGACCAGTCGGAAATTGATAATTCAGATTCTTATATAGGTTAACCGAGGTCATTATATATTGCACTTAACAGCATGCTATTCCACTATAGGTCGTTACATAAATGAAAATTTACTATTCAATTGTAGATTTAACAAATTTACTGAAATAAATAAGTGACTTATTGAATGTACAATGAAACTAAATTTAAAAAAAAATTTCTCCATTTGGAAAATAGCATTTTCAACAATATATGGGAAAAAAGTACGAAAACGATTAAATATTTCAAAATATTGAGATTTCTTATTATTTATTTCTAATTTAAACAAAAATTCAAAAATCGTCAAAATGGGTCAATTATAGCAATACCGGGGTAATGAGTAACAGAACTTTAAATTTTGACTCAAGATGTTTATTAATTTATTATCGACGTTTTTGTTGTACGATTTTCGCGAATCAAACATTTACGAAAAAAAGACAATTCCGTCTTTTTTCGTAAAAATATAAATCGATAATATTATAAAAATCATGAATCAAAATTTTATTAAATTTAATCATCAAATCAAATCAAATTAAAGTAAAATGTTCATATAAAATTAACATAATATATATTATAAAGTAGGACCCCCCTCTTATTTTTTATTATTTGAAACTTATAGACTAACGGAAAACAAATATCAGAATTTTAAAAGGCTTCCAAAACCTTTCTAAACAAATGAGAATGTTCTGAACAAATGAGAACAAAAAATAAAATACCAGCAGGGATAGTACAAAGTTTTCTATATATATTTTTTAAAATAAATATGTATTAAATTAAATTTAACAAAAATTTAAAAATTTTTTCTATTCTAATTTTGTGCCCATAGTTAAAAAATATATATAAAAAATAGTTTTTCTTTTCCTCATTAGTTCGCCATGCATTGTCCATAATTTGAAAATATGGAGAAAAAAATATTTTTTCTTCCCATACGGTTCGCCATACTTTGCCCGTACTTTTGAAAATTAGTAGAAAATATTTTTTATTCTTTCCATTTTTTAATCTTATCAATCTCCAGATTTTGTTAATTTATGAATTGTAAGATATGTTCATAATCATCTACATTAATCTAAAAGTAAATTTGTAAAATTAATTTTATACAATCAAATTAAAAGAAAAATAGTATTAAAAAATCTAAATTTCTATCCTAAACAGAAATTAAACATTAATTTTTAACCGAAGGCATTGATGACATAAATGGAAAAAATAATAAATCAATATCACTTTTAAAATGAAAATGTTTTAACAAATATCCATTTCAATATAAAGAATTGTTTGGGTGCAAAAAAATCTTTTTTTTTACATTAATTGGCAAATATTTTTTAATTAAATTCGAATTTTAATTAAAAATACACGAAATTTTTTTATAGGTACTATGTAATAGAACACAAATTGCTCTTTGAAGCAGACAAGAATTTTTTTAATCTATTTTTAAAAAATATTTCGAAATTAAATAGAATAAATGTTATACGTTGTTTTCTTCGTTTTTTTTTATAAAGAAAAACATATATAACGTTTTTTTTTTTTGCTTTTTTCATGGCATAGAAAATATGATTAAGAAATTACAAAAACCAAAACAAAAAATGCAAAATTCATGAAAAATACCGTAATCAATATTTTCTCTAGGGTACTTTAGTACCTTAGTTGTACTTTCTAGAGTTAATGAATTTTTCTTAATTTCTTAGTATAGTGAGTACTTTTTAAATAAATTTTTTCAAAAAAAAATTTCATTATTTATTAAAAAACTGAGGAACATTTTTAAGCAAATAAAAAATTGATTTATTTTATAATTCTTGAACAGAAAATGCCCTTAATTTAAGTGATAAATAATATATAAAAGCTAAATGACAATTCTGCGAAGGACACTACTTTCAAAATTAAAATTATTATTATATTATTAAATTATTATTATTATTATTATTATTATTATTATCATTATTATTATTATTATTTTTTATTATTATTATTATTATTATTATTATTATTATTATTATTATTATTAAATTATTGTTGTTAACAAGTTATTAATACAGACGTTTTATTTTTCTTAATTGCATAAATTTTCCATTAATTAATTTAACAAAAATAATTATTTAACTCTTTTGTAAATTGAAAATTTATTATTATTCACCTATGCGATTTGAATTTAAATTTCATGTCACTGAACTTAACAAAACAAAACAAAACTTATCTCGAATTGAGTAAATTTTTTTTATTGAAAAGTAAACATTTCTATTGGAGAAAATATGAATGTTTTATGAGTGCAAAAAATTTATAGATTTTTTTAATAATTTCCAAGTTACACTAGTTTTATAAATATTTTTCAAAAAATTTCAATTTAGAAACAAATATTTAAGTACCTTAAGTAATGCAATATAATAAAATCTAAAAAAACCAAAATTTTGTTTATGAAATATTGATTTTTATTATAATTACCAAATTTTCCGAGCAAAAATTTTTTGGAAACTTTTTACAGAACTCGCAATAGTTTTCAAAATGCTCGATGATACTTATAAGCGGTATATTTTTATATTTTTATTTACTTACAATTTCAAACAGAATTTATTAGAATTTATTTTACGTTTTGTGAATATAAACTCTTCTAATATTTATAATTCGATATAAAAAGTAGTAGAGAAAATATTTCTATATAAGAATTAAAAAAGAAGGAAAAAAACTTTTTCTCAATTTTTTTTTATGTAATTTCAATACCAATTAATTTTTTATAAACTGAATTAAAAAAAAAATTTTTTTTTTTTTTTTTTGTAAAAAATATTACTTTTTAGCTAAATTTTAACCAGCGTTTTTTTTTATTAAATCTTTTTTAAAATTGAATATGAAATTTTTGAAATGTGGTCAACTCTGAAAACCCCTAGTAGTAAGAGTCATTTTCCCTGTCCAATGTTATGTGAAAATGACCCTTACAGTTTTTAGTTTCGAATCCTTTACGAAATTCACAATTCATTTGCATTTGGTATTATGTATTTAAAATGTCAATTTTTTAATTCGAAAATCAATTTAAATATTTAAAATCTGTTTATAAAATCGTTTTTTTCTAATTTTAATATTATTCTGAAATTATTTTTCCTTTCGTCGATTCTCACCGTATGGCTATAAATTTAGAATGTATAATAGAAAGGAATTGAGATTGTCTCTTTCTTCACAATAGAAAAAAGGAGGAGAGAAATGGAATTCATAAGAATTAAAAATTAAACTTTTTTTGAAATATTGAATATAAATAAAATAATAAAAAAAAGAATGAAAAAAATGAAAAATAAAATAAATTTAAAAAAATTTTAATTTATTGGTTCTTAGATATTATTTACAAGAAAATATTGCAAAAATAGAAGAAGAAATAAAAAAAAAGAATTGAAGAATTTATAATTTATAAATAAATAATTAACATTGAATATTGAATAAAAATTTTTAAAAAAATATTGATTAATTTATTCAACTTAATTTTATGCAGATGCGCCTTTTTCTGTATTTTTAATGCTTAACATTAAATAACACCTAGAAACCACGTGCAGCGAACCATATAATGTACAGTTTGTAGTGGCCTAAATAACGAAAAAGTGCAAAACAAAGTGAATTCTAGAAATGAATTTCGATTCGAATTTCAATTTTGCAATAAAATAAATTAATTTTTAAATTTTTCTAAAATTATTGCACCTAATATTAAATTTTCGTTTTCAAACATTATTTATTAAAATAAAAAAAAAAAAAAAAAAAAAAAAAAAACTTTTTTCTATTATTTTTAACATATTTTAATTTAAATCAGAAAAGAGAGATTTTCAAATCAATCAATTCTTATCTGAATGTAAACTGAAGTTTTTATTAAACAACAATTTCTAACTGTTTTACCATTGTTATCTAAAGAAGTAGCATTGTTTCAAATTTTGTAAAAAAAAATTGATAAAAATTTCGCAAAAAAGTATATTTTTAAATGATTAGAAAATTATACGTCCTACGAAAAATACGGTTTTAATCTATTTTTGAAATTTTTAATAAAATTAAACTACTCTTTACCAAGAAGAGATAAAAAAAATAAACAAAATAATTTACATTTATTTCCATTTATCATTGAATACTCCACGATAAATTTTAAAGCACTAGCCAATTATATTTATTCCTTTGAAACCTGCTTCTAAAGAGAGACAATAGCAATAGTTGAAAAAAATACCAACAATATTTTTTTAATTATTACGTGTATATAAAGTTAACTGTTTAATTTTTATTTCTTATTTAATATTTACTTATATTCACTCCAAGTTAATTGTAATTTAACTATTTTAAATAGAAAAATTTATTTTTTCGTTTTTTTCTTAAATAAAAATTTTTATTTTTTCGTCTTTTTTTTAAATAAAAATGTATATTTTAAAGATACAATAATTATGTATAATATTAAATACCTGACAATCCAGTTAAAACAAAGAATTCAATAAAGTGCCATATGTTGAAGCAATTTGCGAAATATGAAATTTAAGCACTTGATATTATCAAATTTGTGTTCACCACGTGAATATAAAACACAGCCAAGTATTTGAAACTCACTATCCACTTAACAGAGAGCGACTGCAATGACTGAATGGTTTGTAGGTGAAGTGAACGATAAAGTAGGTAAGTATTTTTCCGGTTTCACCTGAGAGTACAAGATTATAACCAATCATGTTTCATAGAAAGTAAATTTTGTTACAGCCACGTGATACAGTATATGTCCTTAAAGGTCAAGATATTTGAAAATATTCTGTAAGGTTTTTTATAATAAATAAACAGTAATATTTGAATTTATGTATATTTTAAAATATTTATAATAAACAAATTCAGGCTTCGTACTCATCTACTAAAACCTACTATTTACTACTTTTTTACGTCAAACTACTATTTACTACTTTTTTAGGATAAGCTACTATTTGGGTACTTCTTTTAGATTTCAGCCACTAAAAGCTACTATTTCTGTTTTTTTAGAATTTCCACTGCTTTAAATTCGCTAATACTGGAAATAAAAAAACTATTCTCAAAAATTATAATCAAATTCATTAAAATGTTTCAATTATTTTCAAAAAATATTCGAAATTCAATTATTTTCAATGTCTAGAATTTTCATAAAATTTCGCAAAAAAATTCAATTATTTTTTTAAAAAATTAATAAAATTCATCAAAAATTCAATTATTTTCATAAAAAATCAAATTTGCACAGGAATTCAATTAATTTAGAATAGGATTTTCAAAAAATTTCGAAAAAATCAAATATTTAGCGAAATTTTTATACAATTTTTCACAATAAGTCAATAACTTTCACTAATAATAATATTTTCCATAGAAATTCAATTTTTAAAAAAATTTTTTGATAAAATCGTTCGCCAGAATTCAATTATTTTCATAAATAATAGATCTCATCGAAGAATTTTAATTATTTTTAATACAATTTTAAATTAATTTTCACAGAAATTCAATTATTTTTAAACATTTAAATAAAATTTTTCGCAAATAATTCAATTATTTTCATAAATAATAAAAGTATTTTGAGAAATTCAATTATTTTTGAAAATTTCAATAAAATTCTTCCCAAGAATGTCAATTATTTACATAAATAATTCTTCGAAAGAATTTAATTATTTTGATAAATAACAAAATGATTCCCGAAAATTAAATTATTTTCAGGCATTTTAATGTAATTCTATGCAAAATTCAATTATTTTCATAAATAACAATATTCATCACAAGAATTCATTTATTTTTAAAAGTAATACATTTTTTCTTGGAAATTCAATTATTTGAAAAAATTCTAATAAAATCGTTCGCAAAAATTCAATTATTTTCAAAAATAATAAAATGCTTTTTAAGAATTAAATTATTTTCAAAAAAAAATTAATAATTATAAAAATAATATTTTTATTACAAGAATTCAATTATTTAAAATAAAATTTTCATAACATTTAATATATTTCGAAAAAAAATTAATTATTTAAAACAATGTTTATAAAATTCTTATGAAGAATTTAATATTGTTTTCAAAAGTAACAAAATTGTTCACAGAAATTCAATTCATTTTAAACATTTTAATAAAACTTTTTGCAATATAATTCAATTATTTTCATAAATATTAAAATTCTTTTTAAGAATTGAATTATTTTTGAAAATTTTAATAAAAAATTCTTCGGAACTATTCAATTATTATTTTTATAAATAATAAAATTCTTCGAACCTATTCAATTAGTTTTAATACAATTATTTTACAGGAATTGCTGAAAAAATGGAATTATTTTTAAAAATTTAATTTCAATTCCTCGAAAAAATTAATTATTTAAAAAAATGTTTTTTTTTAAATTTCGTTAGAAGAATTCAATTATTTTCAAAAATATTATAATTTTTTACAGAAATTCAATTATTTTCAAATATTTTAATAAAACTGTTCGAAAGAAATTAATTATTTTAAATACAATTTTAATTATACATTCTTTTGAAATAATTAAATTATTCTTTTAGATTTCAATAAATTCAAGAATTCAATTATTTACATAAATAATTCTTCGAAAGAATTCAATTCTGTTGATACATAACAAAATTCTTCAATAAAATTCAATTATTTTGAGACATTTTAATAAAATTCTTTGCAAAATTCAATTAATTTTATAAATAACCATATTCATCACAAGAATTCAATTACTTTTAAAAGTAATAAATTTTTTCTTAGAAACTTAATTATTTAAAAAAAAGTTTTAATAAAATCGTTTGAAGAATTCAATTATTTTCATAAATAATAAAATGCTTTTAAGGAATTCAATTGTTTTCAAAAAAAATTTAATAAAATGCCACACAGACCTTTAATTATTCTCAAAAATTTTAATAGAATTCTTTTGTAAAATTTAATAATTTTAAAAAACTTTTCGCAATTCAATGATTTTTAATATCTACTATTTTCCTTATATTTCTAAACAGAATTAAATTATTATTTAAAACACTTTTTGTAAAAATCTTCGTTACAATTCAATTCTTTTCATAAATAATAAAAATTTCTCAGGAATTTATTTATTTAAATTACAATTTGCATAAAATTAGTCGAAAGAAATTAATTATTTAAAAATTTTTATAAAATTCTTTGAAAAATTTGTTCGCTATACTTTGCCTATAATTTGAAAATATGTAAAAAAAAAATTTTTTCTTCCCATGGTTTTTTGACAATAAACTTTAAAAATACAAAACAAGCTTTTTTTCTTTTTTCCTGATATACTTTTCCCATGGTTTAAATTTTGACAATAAACTTTAGAAATTTAAAAAAAAAATTTTTTTCTTCTGCCAAGCTTTGCTGTACTTTGCCCATGGTTTAAATTTTGTTGTCCCCATTCTTTAACCATTGCATATTTTTATGTCTCAATTCATTCTATAAAATTTACTATTTAATAATTTTTAACAATTTTAATATATTAATAATTTAGCACTTACTAATCTTAGAAAGTTTCAGAAAGTACAATGTTTTTTATCATTATATGCATTTTTAAAAAATTTTTAGACCTCATTTTTATATATTATAAAAATGTTTAACCTATTTTGTCTTCAGTTTTAGGTTAAAATTACTTCACAGTGAATAATGATATTTTTACATAATAAAAATATCATAAACAAAATTTTAATGCTTATTTGACTAAAGCTTCTGCCGCATCAACAAAGAGTAACGATAAATATAAATTCCATCATAAAAAAATCAATATTTTTAGGAACCGAAAATGATATTTTATAATTTTAAGCATTCGTATTTAAACCTATTTATTTGCCATAACAATTTAAAAATGTATTGATTTACATGAATCATAGTAAAAAAATCTTGACTATTCTAATTCTTTTCTTATGTACAAACTACAAAGAATCTTTTTGATCTCCCCAAGTAACCTTGGTAGTCCTGAAACAGAAACTTTAATTAACTTTAAATAAAAATACTTGCAAAATAGAATTTTTTGTCAATTCTAAGAATGGAGGCTTTTCTGAGTATTTTGTAATAGAAATTAAAATAATATCCACGGAGCTCTTTTTGAAATAATTAATTTTTAATATTTGATTCATAAGCACTGTTTTTTCATACTTGAAAAAAACATACTAAATATAAATTAAGTTATGTTGTCATGGTTATTTTAAAGTACCTTGGAATGTTGAGTCTGAATTTGATGTTAAAATTAAGAAATTAAAAAGTTTAAAAAAAATTTTTTTTTAAATTAAAATTAAAAGAAATTAAACCAAAAACTTTAAGGGATTAGAAATCCGTGATTGAAATTTTTTTAATTTTGTCAAAATAGTTGAATTTAAAATTTTTTCAGAAGATATATATTTTGACAAAAGATTCGAATTCAGTGACTTTAAAAACCCCAGGTCATTATTTTCAATAATTTCGTAAAGTTATTTCTTCAGATTTGCCTGTCATACATTATATGAGTAGCTTTACTTTATTTTTTTCCAATATAGGGGTACGTCAGTCGTTGTTAAGGGGTTAAATTAATAATTTCCTATAATCATAGAAAACTATACGTATATATAATTATGTTCAATATGACCTTCGACATAGAAAACCGCATATGCCCTTTAAAAGTTTCGTTCATGCGAATGTAAACACATGTGAAAATGCTGCATTAATAAATTTACGTGTGATAAGTGAAATCAATTAATTTCTAACCATTTAAATGGACTGCAATATTTAACATGTAATTTATTTCATGATTTAATCTCAACAAAATTATTCTGAATTGTTTATAAACTGTTATTCATTTTACTTTTATTGACTACATTTTTATACACAGATGCCGCACACTGTTAACACTAACAATATTTGCTGTTAGTTTCAAACGTGTCGATCAATCAGCTAGTCATGAAACATAATACATTCTTCAGTAAGTAGAAAAAAGTTTTTAAAAAATTTTAAGTGATAAATAATTTTTTGAATTTAACTATTATACCCACACGAAATTTTCACCTTTTTATAATTGTCATGAAAAAAAACAGAGTTTACAACTATTGATTCTGTGATTATAAGCCAAAAACAATACATTTCAAATAAAATTATCTTAAATTGATTTTTGCAACTATTTTTTAAATTTTTTAGTGAATTTTTGAATGGTGGCCACCTTGGGGCCACTTTTTTTTAAAGCAAAATTTCAGCTGTTTTTCCAAAGTCGCCTAAGTTTTATTTCCCTTGGTAAAATAAAAAATTTTTTTTGCTTAAAAGTTAGCTAAGGAGATACAGTTTCAGGGCATATATTATTAATTATGTTTATATAATATCGTTTAGGAATTGAGGGGCTGGATGCTATAATGTGTTACGCGTGAACACACGGCCAGTCAGTTGGGTCATGGAGAGAAAATTTTGAAGTTGTTCAAAATAAATTTAAAATTATTGTTTCTTGTTCAGAATGTCAAGGCGAAACTTTTTTTCTAATAAAATTTTTTTATATAATTTTTTGTTTTTAAGTAAATTGAGAAAAGCGTGATTTTTTAACCTAAAAAATTTTAATGAATTTTTGACTTCAACTCGTGATTACTTCGTTAAATATTAATATTTTTCCACGAAATTTACACACAATATTCTTCAAACTAGTTCAAAAGTGAAACAATATTTAATAATTTTTCAAAAAATTCTATGTCTAAGTAAATAATTATTTAAATAATTTTGCCGGAAAAATGATTATCCTATTTTCAATTGGAAAAGTTGAGTGACGAATTTTCGTTTTCGGAAAACTTCCAGTGACTAAAATGTTCATCAATATGTTAGGAAGTTTTTTGGAAAATTTTTCGTCATTTGATAATAAATTAAAGAAAATAGAGCAATTTTAACAGTGTCGCGCTCTGCTGTAAAATTACGGCGTGGCCGCGCACGTGTGGAATGGCCGCCATTACAAGACCAATGTATACAGTGAGTCAATGTTTACGTTTACAGCAGAGCACGACGCTGTTAAAATTGCTCTATTTTCTTTAATTTACTATCAAATGACGAAAAATTTTCAAAAAAACTTCCTAACATATTGATGAATATTTTTGTCACTGGAAGTTTTCCGAAAACGAAAATTCGTCACTCAACTTTTTCAATTGAAAATAGCTGCATCATTTTTCCGGCACATTTATTTAAATAATTATTTACTTAGACATAGAATTTTTTGAAAAATTACTAAATATTGTTTCACTTTTGAACTAGTTTGAAGAATATTGTGTGTAAATTTCGTGGAAAAATATTAATATTTAACGAAGTAATCACGAGTTGAAGTCAAAAATTCATTAAAATTTCTTAGGTTAGAAAATCACGCTTTTCTCAATTTACTTAAAAACAAACAATTATATAAAAAAATTTTATTAGAAAAAAAGTTTCGCCTTGAAATTCTAAACAAGAAACAATAATTTTAAATTCATTTTGAACAACTTCAAAATTTTCTCTCCATAACCCAACTGACTGGCCGTGTGTTCACGCGTAACACATTATAGCATCCAGCCCCTCAATTACAGTCGTTTAAAAGATGGGTGGACACCCAGGTAAAAATGATTCGTACGAAATTCGTACGCATTTCGTTCCGAAATCCGGCCAGATTCGTACAGAATTCCTATCGAATTCGTATGAAATTACTAGCGAAATTCGTGTGGCGTTTTGAAACGTTTTTTCGCACGAATATTCGTGCGAATAATACCCGGATTTTTTCAAATGGATTTTCAAGAAATATTTTCGTTCGGAAATCCGTATGGAAATTGGCACGGAATAATTTTTAACAATTTCTTCAAAAATTTTCGGTCAAATTTCCATACGAAATTCGTACGAAATTCGAGCGAATTACGGACGAATTTATTTAAAAACTTTTTTATAAAATTCTGTTCGGAAATTCGTATGGAATTCCGCACGAAATGTCAGCCAAAAATTTTCGACGAAACTTCCATATGAAATTCGTATGAAATTCGAGCGTTCTATGAATGAATTTATTTAAAAAAATTTTTATAAAATTCTACTCGGAAATTCGTATGGAATTCCGCACGAAATGTCACCTAAAAATTTCCTCACAAATTTTCGGTCAAATTTCCATATGAAATTCGTACGGAATTCAAGCGAATTACGAACGAATTTATTTTGAAAAGTTTTTTTAAAATTCTGCCTGGAAATTCGTTCGGAACTCCGCACGAAATGTCAGCCAAAAATTTCTTAAAAAATTTTTGGTCAAATTTCCACATGAAATTCTTACGAAATTCGAGCGAATATACGAACGAATTCATTTTGAAAATTTTTTATAAAATTCTGCTCGGAAATTCGTATGGAATTCCACACGAAATGTTACCTAAAAATTCTCTCAAAAATTTTCGGTCAAATTTCCATATGAAATTCGTACGGAATTCAAGCGAATTACAAACGAATTTATTTTGAAAAATTTTTATAAAATTCTGCTCGGAAATTCGTACGGAATTCCGAACGAAATGTCATCCAAAAATTCTTTTCAAAATTTTCAGCGAATTTTTCAAAATAAATTCGTACAAAATTCGCTTGAATTTCCTACGAATTTCATGTGGAAATTTAGCCGAAAATTTTTTAAGAAATTTTTGGTTGACATTTCGTGTAGAATTCCATACGAATTTCCGAGCAGAATTTTATAAAAATTTCCTAAAATAAATTCGTTCGTGATTCGCTTGAATTTCGTACGAATTTCATATGGATATTTCGCTGACAATTTTTGAGGGGATTTTTAGGTGACATTTCGTGCGGAATTCTGTACGAATTTCCTAACAGAATTTTATAAAAAATTTTCAAAATACATTCGTTCGTAATTCGCTCGAATTTCGTACGAATTTCATATGGAAGTTTCGTCGAAAATTTTTAAGGAAATTTTTGGCTGACAATTCGTGCGTAATTCCAAACGAATTTCCGAGCAGAATTTTATAAAAAATTTTCAAAATTAATTCGTTCGTAATTCGCTCAAATTTCGCACGAATTTCATATGGAAATTTGACCGAAAATTTTTGAAGAAATTGTCAAAAATTATTCCGTGCGAATTTCCATACGGATTTCCGAACGAAAATATTTATTGAAAATCCATTTTAAAAAATCCGGGTATTATTCGCACGAATATTCGTGCGAAAAAATGTTTCAAAACGCCACACGAATTTCGCTAGTAATTTCATACGAATTCGATAGGAATTCTGTACGAATCTGGCCGGATTTCGGAACGAAATGCGTATGAATTTCGTACAAATCATTTTTACCTGGGGCCCCTTACCCTACATTATTTAAGCAACTTCTAATATATTAAAATTTCTTGGATTATGCGCAAGCTCATACATATGAATTTTTAATCGGATGCATTGAACATTCTATTATCACTCGTATTAATTATTCATAGTACTGTCATCACTGGTAATTTTTTCTTAAAGAGAGATCGGAATGAATAAATCATAAAAGATAAATAATAGTAAACATTAATCTAATCTGATCTAATTAACCTGGATTTTCCATATGAATAGTAGGCATTTAGGCGAGCACTTAGGTTAATACCCCGCACAGTTCTTAGGAAGGCAAAAAAAGTTTGGGTACAATAACGACGAAATCTAAGCAATTCCATTATCATCATCTTTGGCGATGTGTTCTCTTGATCTGAATGTCCTAGGTATTTGGAGACGTAATTTTCTGGAAGCACTGAGATGCAAATTTTGAAAAAGCTCCGACCACCGTCAGATGATTTTAACAACTTGATTGCCAATAAAGTTTCGTTTATCCACTACAAATTCTCAAAATGTCTTCTACGTAGTCCCAGACAACAGACTTTTGCTGTTTGATATGATTTTTCTCGACATCAAACTTCAAGATAGAAATCTTCTAATAGCTTATCCCTTTTTGAAACCTCTTTGGAATACAATAACCCGGTGCACTGTTTCGCCCATTTATAAATAACAAAAAAAAAATGACAAAAGAACGTTTTTATGTTGAATCATTGCAATGACCCTGGAGGGTAAAGTGTTGCCTACATTTAAGGAGTCGAACAGTGTCGCGCCTGAAGTTTGATAATTTTTAGGCATCGCGATATTGTCCAGAGATCTAATATCTAAAATTTAATTTCTAGGGTATAGAAGAAAGAATACTCCATTCTTCAGTAAGAATAAAATTGATAAAAATTTAAAAACATTATCCGGCGAGCTTAATATTTATGAAGACCTACTTCCAACACATTATATAAGTAAAATATGCGGTTTACTTCCAATAAGAAAAATTCAATTAAAAAATGGTGAATATTCTGGAGAACTATCTACATCAGGGATTTTTTATGGGTAAAAATATAAAAAGAGTTTTATGTACAAAACTATCTCAAATCAATTACAATTTGACGTATACTATGTTGACATGGAACAGTTGATGTCAACGCAATTAAGACTTAAGTGCCCTTTTAAGATCCGGAGCCTTAATTATAAAAAAAAATAAAGAAGTACTGGGCACAGGAACATTGGTTCTTTTAGAAGATTTTGATGCATTCTACATTTATAATTTTAATATAATGAATATTGTTTTTGATTTTTAGAATCCTGCTGATAATAATTCTTATGTTAGCTCAAGCATGGGGTCTATGGCGAGATTTGCGACATGGTTGGAAAAATAGTACAAGACTATCATCTAAAACAGCTGTTACAGTGACTTGCACTGATGTTGTGTCAATTGCTGGTGTAACTATAACATCAGTTCTGTGTGTTCCCTTGAAATGGAAACATATACAACAGAGTTTACACCATTTAATTCAGGTACTTGAAGTAATTTACTAATTTTATAAAAGTTAAGATGAAGTAGATGAAGACGCTTAGCAAAATTCGCCGTGGGAGTTAGGATAGGAAACTGGTGACTAACCATTTTGGGCCATTAGGATATCTTAGGATATCTTTGCCACACTGCGATTATAAAAATGACTTGTTTCTTATTTTTCAGGTGAATAGAAAATTAAAAAGCCTTGAAGTCGCAAGAATACAGACAAACATTATCATATTTTTGTGGCTTTTACCAGTTTTAATTATTATTTCGATTTTGGATTATTATACTTGGTTGTATGCAAACAAAAGAAATAATTTGGCTCCCCGTGAGGATAGAGGTCCTATTAACTATTCACCCATTTATTTAATGTACATTGTAAATACCGTATTTGAAATACAATATGCTTTAATTGTATCGTATATGGGAAAAATCTTGGAAATAATAAATCGAATTCTTCAGCAACAATTTACTAGATACAAATTTCATCAATTTCTAAAGAGAATTATTGAAGAAGGTAAGTATAGACTGGCATACTGAACACAAATCTATGATCAAATTTTTTTCCATTATAATTCGTTGATATTTTCATATAAATATAAATAATACTCTCTAAATTGATCCAATTAACTTTTGATTTTATTTCATAGATCAAAAAACTGTGGAGAAGAAAATTTCACTTTTGGTAAATTTACACGATGATTTATTAAACAGCATTCGTTCTTTGAATATGGGCTTTGGATTGCCGATACTTTTTGCTGTTTTGAATTGTTTTATTCATTTAATCATTACAGCTTATTTCGCATATATTGAACTACATGACGATAATTGCAGTTGGAGAATTTTAAGTATGCAAATTGTGTGGATAATTTTCCATATTATAGGACTTTTAATTATCGTGCAACCTTGTTATTGGTGTATTACCATGGTAAGAAACAAATTTTTAGAACTGTTTATATTTCTTAATCAGAACAATTTAAAAATAAATTTTTTTCTACCAATTTTCTAGAATAAAGAAATAGGAACTTTAATCTGTAAATTGATTGTTGTTAATAAGAAATTACATATTTTGAAACGTCTGGAAGTATTTTCTCATCAATTGTTATTTAGACCATTGGAATTTTCTGTATGTGGATTATTTTATATAGATAGACGTTTGTGTACATCGGTAAATATTGTTTATTTATGACAATAAGACAACATGAGACTGTTTTTTTTATTATTACAGGGAAGATTATGTTACATTTAAAATATATTTTGTTTTTAGATAGCGTCTGCAATTACGACATATTTAGTTATTTTAATTCAGTTCCAAGGTAATGGAGATGATAATTAAACAAGAATATTATAGATCATAAAAATGTTGAGTATTAATAAAATTTAAAAATATTGTTACGTCTAAACGAACCACACTTTACTTTTCTATTTTCTCCAATTGAAAATCTCATACCATCAATCCCACATTTACGAGCAGTTTTATAAAAACAGAATTTATTTAGAAACCGTAAAGTTTACCGTGATTCACAGAAGATGTGTTGTCATTAACGAGACAAGAATTAAGCCTTCGAAAGAAATATATACTGTAACAAAATAATAATATTAATATGAAATAATTACAAATAAGAATTAACAATAATATCGTAAAAAAATAAAAATAACAATTAACGTACGTCGATGCTAATAAAATACCTACTATTCCAGAAGTGATGTTTTGGGAATATCATCAAAGAAACATTAATTTAAATAAAATAATTAAGAAATGCGTTCAATTTAAATATTTGCTAATCATTGTCACACAAAAATTTCTTTCTTATCTATACTCGATGCATCTGTAGCTTCAGAATTTGTTGACTAAACATAAAATGTAGTGATATATTTAATGCTCAAGTTATTAATCTGGAAACGCCACGTAGACCTAGTCTTCTGTCACGTTGCATACGTTTTCAAACAAACTACTAAATATTTATATTTGTCTGCTTGTTCTCATATATTAAATACACGAAAAAACTAGACACCAAGACCGTATGTATTTACTTTTTCAAAGTTGAATATATGTCAATACATTCTAATTATTATTTTTTTGACAATTAACTAGTTTTAAATCCAATTAGTTTAAATGCCTTTTAGTTAAAAAATTGCTTGTGAACCGGAAACAATCTGAAAACAGTTTCCAAAAAACATTATTTCTTTACAATTAAAGTTCTTGGCATCGTTGAATTCGAATTTGATGTTAGATTTTCAAATATTATGACGCACCCAATATTGCGGATAATTAGCAAATCAAAAACCCCCGTGTTTTTTAAGCGAATCAGATCAATTTTTGATTTCTTCTGGTCGACATTTTGATTCCATCATTTTGAATTTTGAAAATTTGATGTCAAATTCAAATTCAGCAACCCAAATCACCATATATATGGTCCATAGACTGTCATGGGGTTAAAAACGTTTTTCTTTAAATATTGAAAAGGTTCATAATAACCCAGGCAGAAACCCTAATCAACCGTAGTTGATGTCCGATCTACTACTAATTCAATACTGTTTTATATAAATTTCCACTTTTGGGTTGTCACGTGCCTTTTGCGTTGCGTAATTCCAAAATTTAAGAAAACAGTAACCTTTCTAATTTCGCAACATGCAACAAAGATCATTCACACTCTCAAACTTTTAACATACCGGCCCCTTTGAAATGCTCGCGATGATAAATATTAATCGAGTGACATTACATCATAAAAAAAGAATAAAAGCAAAATTCAAAGAACAATGCTGAAAAATGGTCAAATTCTGACAAGAAGGGGAAAGTGGAAGAAGACTATTTTTTTAAAGCTTTTACCCTGCTAAATCTAAAAATGACCTATGTCAGATATGTAATTAAAACCTGAAAATTTAAAATTACCTACATATAAATTTTTATAAAAAAGCGGAGTTTCAGTTAGCATTTAAATTTCCTTTAAATAATATCAACAGAAATAATAAAAACAATTGCACTCTACCCAAATAAAAAACTACCACCTCTGAGTCCCCTAAAATTCAACAATAACTAAAATAATTTAAAGTATAAGATAACTACTTTCAAGTCAGCATTTTCTATTTGTCACAAACTTTTTCAGCGACATTCAATTTATAACAAAGCAACTCTCTAACATGTCAAAAAATCACCATCCCTTAAAATCCAAAGCTCCATAAAACCAGTTAAGGTAAGATCATTGAAACATCTAATCACTGAAGATAAGATGAGGTGTCACCAACTAGTTGAGGTATGATCATTGGAATATCCAATCAATGAATATTTCGATGATCTTACCTTCACTGGTTGGTGAGGGTACATCTTACCTTCATTCACTGGATATTCCAATGATCCTACCTTAATTGGTTAGTACTTCTTGTATAAGCGATGTCAAGCCTTTAAGCCCATCCTTGATTGCCATACTAACATTCTTTTGGACTTCACAGAACTTCAGCATTTTTCTAACCTTTTCTTCCATTTTCAGAATGCTCGCTGCCTCTTCCTCCTGCAGCTTAATGCATTAATCCCGATCTTCGTTACAGCTAGCAATGTCGATCGCAGAAGCATTACTAAAGACAGAAACGCAGCTGGCCTGACTTGTCACACTGCTTGTACTCCCTCGTCTATCTACTCTGTTCAAGACAACTCTTGGTACCATCAAATAGTTGTTGCCATCCTGCCATTGTTGCCAGTTGAGTCACTGGTCACCGTCCTCACGACAGGAACTTGACGATCGGAACCAGTGAGAAATTTAGCCGAAGCATTACCCCGCAGGTAATCTTCCTTGTTTTTACAATCTATATATAAGCCTATATACGCTTATCCTCGTTATCGGTGTAGCGATTCAATTTTTTACAAAATCCCTTCGTCATGAAATTAGCCATGGACCCGTTGTCAAATGAGATTCGAGCCTTTATCAATTGACCTGAATTATAGACACAGCGGTCGACAAAATTTTCTCGTTTGTTTCTTTATTTGAAAACATATTTAAAAATCATTTGTGGTATTTAATTTGACATTACATTCGCGACACTTTCCGTTTCGTTTATTTTCCTGACATGATACGTATTTGTTGATTTAATTTGTTGATCCATTTTCTTGATGTAGCAATGAGTGATGTGACCAATTACAAATTTTACAACCTTTAGTCGAAATATGATGATCTCCTCGCAGAAAAGTTGTCACAATCTTTGGAGATACTGGTCACTCACATTTATCTTTACACGTGTTTCATATAAATTCCCACTTCTATGGGTTGTCACGTTTCTTTCGCGTTACATAGTTCCAAAATTCAAGAAAACAGAAATGCTGGTTTTCATTTGCCCGTACTGAATCATAAATTAGCTAATCGTTGATTTCTGCCTGGGTAATAATCTAAAAGTATTTCGCCATTGAACCATCTTCATATGAGAAATACAATAATTATTTTCTTACTTTTTTTAAGTGAAACAGTGCCAAGAGGAATCAGTAATCAACCATATTAGGGAATTATTCTCCTCAGAAGTGTAATACCATTTATTCATTATGAAAAGAATTACAATCGGTTTTATACTAATCTCATTGGTCTACGGTGAAATTTGTAAACTAGATGAACAAGAACTAACAGAATTAGAAAAATCCTTCAATGAAGCAGAAATTTATATGAGAAGAGAAGCTTCAAATGAAAATGCAGCGATTTGTATAGGAACCACAAGGGCAGGGAAAAGTACTTTAATTAATTACTTAATAGGCAATGAGCTAAAGGCCGTCAGATTTTCAAGATATGGCGATATTAAAATAATTAAAGCAGACAATCGATCCATTGGACCGGAAATTGGTGCTGGACCAACATCAAAAACGACAATTCCCACAAAATGGACATCAAAAAGATTGAATAATTTGATAATTTTTGATTCTCCTGGATTTCAAGATAATAGAGGACCAATACAAGAAATCACTAATTCTTTCTATCTCTATCAATTGGCGAAAAATGTTAATTCCTTAAAATTTATTTTAGTTATTAATTTTGCAGATATTGAACGAGACATTATTACACCATTCATGAACCTTTTACTTGATTTTGATAATTTTTTTGGAAATAAGTTCAAAGACTTTTTTCAAAGCATATCAGTGATTTTTTCAAAAGTGCCCTATGAAATGTATGACACAGAAGTTGATATTGAAATGATTAAACACTTATTGAAAACAAAAGCTTATCTAGCAGGGAAAACATCTTCCAATAATGTAAAGGATTTTCTTTCTTATATAACGGAAAATAATGATAGTATTGCATTATTCAAAACATTAGAAGAAACAGGAACTATTTCCGATGATATCGAATTAAATATTTTCTCATCTATTAATAACTCTAAAAGTGTAAATAGAAGCGTTCTTCAAAGTATTTCTCCAAGTATTTCGCATTATTCTTTTCTTTGCCTGCTCCAATCAAAAAACAAATGGGTATCAATGGCTGAAATTAATGAAATACAGGAATCTTTATTTCTCACATTAACTGAAATGCTCTCTGTCCAAAATATTTTAACTGAAAAGTTAACTATTAATCAAATATCAAGTATTAAAGAGAAGTTAAGTATTATTGAAAATTTACTGAATAAGTCTATTGCAAACAAATCTGATATTTACGAGAACATTGAAACTTTAAAAAAAATTGATATCAAAATGCAGAATAAGATTGATGAGACTAAATATTTAAAAAAAGTTAAAATATTTATGTTTGTTTCGAATTTATTACATTCGAATGAAAGTGAAGTCTTAAAACTGTTTAATGAGGGACTAATGTTAAGAATGCATGCTGTAGTAAAGGAAAACGAAGTAATGAAAAACTTGGAACAACTTTTAAAGAATCGTCCAATTATAAAGGAGGAAAAAAAGACTTCACTTTGGGTAAAAGTCGGAAAATATCTATTAGTTTTTTTTACTACAATATTAATTCCATTCGCTATACCCCTTTGGACAACATCTATACCTACTGTAAAAGAGACTTGTTTTTAACATAAATGCAGCACAAAGTGGTGAATTTCTGCACATTTAAAAGTGTACTTTCCTGCACACTTTCCTGTAAACAGTATAATATACACTATAATCAACATAAAACTATAATTATTGATTAGAAAAGTATAAAAATTACTTTTTTCGGTAAAGAGGTGTTGAACAAAGTACTGTGTGCAACACGTACGAAAGAAGATTTTCCGACCTCTTGGAAATTGCTGCCCTCGCTTCGCTCGGAGCATCAGACTTTGCACTCGTCGGAAAACCGCTTCTTTCTGTACTTGTTGCACAATATACTATTGTATCGTTAATTTTCTAAAATGAAAAAAAAAATTAAAAATAATATTCATAATCAGAAACATGTGAATTGGAATTAGTATTCCATATTATTTTGTTCACACTTTTACATAGTTTGTTTTAAAGATGTAAGATTTTTAAATAAAATTAAAAAAAACCGCTGCCAAGTTGTACATTTTTATAATTTTCGTGTGCATTTCATGAACACTTTGCTTCCTCATAGAAAAAATAATAATTAAAATATAAGAATTACTTCTTATAAAAGGGTTAAAAATCATTAAATCTTTTGTTCCAAAAAATGTGTTTTTATATACAAAATTTTCAAAAAAGTATTATTTTCGAAAAATTTAGATTTTTAAAACTTTAATATCTCTGACTAATATTGACGAAAAATGTTTAATCAAGACTCAAAAGATGCGTGTGAAAAAACTCTACAAAACTAAAGAAAAACATTTATAGGTGTCCTAAAAATTTTTTTAAGTTATGGCCAAAAAATGTTTTTTTACAAAATGAAAAAAAATATATTTAAACTTTATGAATCGGGCTGAAAATACTCTTATTTTATGTCCCCGGAGAGATCTAAAGTTTAAAAAAAATTGAAACCTTCAACTCTTTCTCGTTCTGAGATATTGAGGCAATTGTAACGTTAGTACATATACACACACACAACGGGAAATTATGTCCATTAAAATATTTATCTAAAATAAATACGAAATAATCCAAAATTAATATGTAAAGAATACGAAATTAGTCCACAATAATTCGAATTTAATCCAATTAAAAGATTTAATCCGAAACAAGTATGGAACAATCCGAAATCTATATGCTAAAAATTCCGAAATTGTCTGCAACAATCCGGATTTAATCCAGTTAAAAGATTTGGACTTCGGACTAGATCAGACTAATTCAGACTATTTCAGATTAGCTGTGGATTCACTGGTTAAACTAACCGGATTACTTCTGCATTTACTAGTTGCGTATAATCTGACTAACTTTGGACTAAACCGAACTAATTACGGATGTGTTCCTGTTCCTGATGTAGTTCCTGTTTATATGTCTGATAATGAAAATAATACTCCAAATTATAGACTTATAACAATTTAAAGTTCATTTGCTAAAATCTTTGAAAGTATTATATTCGATAATTTTTATCCAGCGGTCTCAGGAATTATAATTAACTAACCTTGGTATTTTTACCACTTTTTTAACTAATAATATTGAAAAGGGTCTTCAAATTGACATTATTTATGCTGATGTGTAGCATTTGATAAGGTAGATCATAGTATACTATTAAGCAAATTAAATTCACTGGGCATTTCTGACAACATTGTTGCATTTGTTAAGAGTTATCGTCTGACAGGTATCAAGTGGTAAAAGTTGATGGCGATTATAGTGAACCTTTTTTAGCAACCTCCGGTGTATCTCAGTGGTCGGGTCTTGGTCCTCTAATGTTCATTTTATATATGAATGATGTAAAACCTATTTTCAGGCACTTCTATTTTTTTCTCAATGCAGATGACCTGAAATGCAACAAAATAATTAATTCACTTACAGCAGAAAAGGACACTTCAGATCTGCAAAAGGATCTGAAGAGGCAACAAAAATGGTGTGGTTAAAAATCATTTAAGTATTAATATAAAGAAAAGTTATGTTGTTTCATTTTCTAAAGGCAGAGTTAATTCATATAATTACAGAAGTAATTTTATGTCAGAAGTTTTGGAAAGAGTTTTTTTTTGGGAAAGTTTCAATGATCACGTTACTGAAATTGTTTCAAGAACCTCAAAATCTTTAGGGTTTATAATGAGATGTGCACGAAATACTGAAGTATTTCGTGGTCTTGCAACAATTAGAATATTATACTTGACACTTGTCAAATCAATAATTCAGTAGCATTTCTCTGATATGTCTTTCTTGTACAGACTGATGACCGGAGCTATCAGCCCTTCACTCCTATCTATGGTAAATTTATCTGTTCCTAGAATATTTACCAGACGTTGTACATTATTTTTAGTGGCACTTCATACAACAAACTATGGTAATAATTCATTAATTGATCGTATCACTAGAGAAGCTAATTTAATTTCTAATGAAATTGTCTTTGACGATAATTTCGGACTTCTATTACAGATTACATTTAATTAAGAACCACTCTTAACGTACCTCTAAAGTCCCATAGATTTTTATTTGATCTGCTATTCTAAAATAAAAAATTGCCTAACAAAAGGGTGGCGTTTTTAAGTAAACTCGCATTCAACGTTGCTGATTATGTGGGTCCCTTCTTCCAGTGTTGGTAAATGTATCTTCCTTTTTTTTCTTGGGCGTGTGCTTGTCTCATCGTCGGTGCATCACGGCGATTTTGTCTCAGCGGAATCTCCCCATGAGAATAGTGTGGGAAAGCAAGTCTCCAGAGTGGCAAGAAATAGTTTGGCCTGGTAGATGCAGATTTTCGTAAATTAATTTGAAAAAAAGAAACCTACGAACATCAGTAGCAATTTCTAAAAAAATTGATCCATATTCAGAAATAAAATCAGTGTTGTTTATGAGCATTTTTTTCAAAACCTTCACTACTTTTTTAGTTGCATTCAACCACAGAAGTTTTTTTTTTTTGATAAAATACATCCTGTTAAAAATAATCATTAGGATATTCATAGGATTGGATTAAACAAAAACAAAATTGTTTCTAAAAAGTGTACTATTTAATTTTGTAAATTATTCTAAGCTTTTTTTTCATACCAAAAAAAAAAAATTCTTTGAAAAATTCTTTTAGTTTTTTGGGGTATTGTGTCGAGGTGTATTCACGAATGTGGCGGGGACTAATTATTTAGTAAGGGTCTACGAACCTTCTTTCTACCTTTCACTTTTTGAAGTAGCAGACCTACTATGGAGGAATCGATTTATTTATTTTTCTTCCTTCGACTGCAATACCGCAGAATCAAACAGAACACTTATATGGACTTCGTCACCATAGGGTTATATACCGCTATGCAGCCATTGTTTTGCCAACGGTAAGCTTGAACGCAACAACATTAGCAATTCAAATTGTCGGCAATTTTTTTAACGCATTTTTGACCTCCTGTATCGGCTTCTTCGCCTTTGTAAGGCTTTTGACTTTGCCGAATGTCTGTTGTTATTAAACCCACCCTCACCATATTAAGGATACTAGGATGCTAAATAATTGGTCGTCTCTCGACAATAAAGAAACTTAAGGTAATTAAAAAATTGTGTGCATATTTTAAATTTTCCAAATACTGCAAATTATCAGTATTTACATTAATTTAATTCTAGTAGTAAAACTATTTTTTTCATTTTACAGGGATTAAATTAATTAAATTTAAAAATTGCGGATTCAATATGATTACAATATTTACTTTTTCAATATATAAATTTTTATTTTACGCACAAACAAACTTCTTTTTACTCTTGATTAAAAAAATATAAAAACATGTTAAGTATTTCAGAAATTATATTAATTTTAATATTTTAATTAAACATGGCAAACTCAAGAATTTTTTAACTCATTCTAGAAAGTTACTTAAATTTCATTATTATAAGTTTAATGGATGAAAAAATAGATTATGTTTTGTGACTTAGACGGGAAAGATGTTTATTTATTATTTGCAATTACTTACAAAAAGAAAAAATTATTTTTATCGCTAAAAAGTAGTATTTTACATAATTTTTAAAAACTTACCTATATCCTCCTTATCCTTATTTTAATCACAAAACTTTTTTCACTTCTGATCACTTATGATATTTTATATATATTTTTTTATTGTTTTGTCACTTTTCATCATCCCGTATATTAAGAACAATATTATGATGAAGAATATTTAAGAAAAAAACACGTGTTCTTCACTTTGTAATCTGTAATACTCTGTAATATTCATCATGGACCACGTGGAATAAATTAGAACCTCAAAACTGCGCGCGCACAAAAATTTGAAATTATTTCAGCCAATAGCGACCGTCATCATCGTACTTCAACTAATCGCGTATTCAAATGCCTCTCGTGTAGAAATTTAAAAATATTATTGCAAATGTTTTTTTTTTTTTTTTTTTTTGAAGGAAACTTGTAATTTTTAATTTTTTTTTGATAAGAAGGGTTTAGTAGGTGATTTGGTTGGAAAAGAGGCTGAACCAAAAATATGTGCATGGAGGTTCATCTCCACGGGACCTTAACGAGCTCGTAAGTATGTTGACTACCACACAGCTTGTTATACGTATGTACTCCAGCAAAATGATTATTATAGTTCGTAACCGAAGAGCTGCCCATTTTAGAGCCCATGGAAGCCGCCGTATAATTTTCCACCTACTAAAATAACCATTCTTCTGTCTCCGAGACCAATTCGTTCACAATTACTGGCAAATAAGGTACAGTATGCCAAGAAAATGAATCTGTTACCATGTTATAGATTATATATAAATAAGACATTTTTAAAATATAAAAATCTAAAACTCTCTCGAGATGATAAAAACAGATTTCTTAATTTTTATGGTACAGTGATTATTCTCTTTCAAATGTTATGGTAAATGTAAATATTTTTTTTAAATGTATTTTTTTTTTTTTTTTTTTTTTTTTTTTTATATTATTATTATTAATGTAAATTTTTTTATGCATGTTTAGCCTGATGATGATGACAAACCAAGTCATCGAAACGTTGCGCGTGGGATAAAACAAAAAAATATTTCCAAATTGTAAACCGACGCGACGAAAGTAGGAAAAAGTTTGTTTAATTAAAAAGATGAAACAGTTTTGAAGAAATCTAGTGTTTTCATCTATAAAATACTATTGTTAACAATATTATAAATTTATAATTTAAAATAACAATCGTTAATTTGAAAGAAACGACTTTTTAACGGATTTCGAAATACAAATATTTTAAAAAATGTTGTGTGAAAATTTTAGAAAGATCCAAGCATTGTAAATATATTTTTTTTTTAAATAAAATTTGAGTGTGTACATAGGGCGCTTCTAAGTGAACAATAAAAGCAAAAACTTTAAATGCGTTTTTCTCGAAACCACTTTTTTCATGATTGTGTAATGTTTTTCTCGGAAACTACTGGATCGATTCTTACGAAATTTTTATCTTCGTCACATATACTTATGGGTATCGCCGAAACTAAGATTATGTAAAAATATAATTTTTTTTGACAT